TCTGGTCTGAAGGGACAAGGGAAAGGAGGTTCTTGGCACTGGAAGATGGTAGCTATATGGAAAAGGCCACCTGGCAGCACCTGTAGCCTTTGATCATAGGATGTATCTAATCTTACTCTTCATTGTCCTGCTGTCCTCTATCTCCTCCCAGTGCCCCCCATCTCCTCCCAGTGCCCCCCATCTCCTCCCAGTGCCCATGGCCAAATTCATCAAAACAATGAAGACCAAAAGAGTCTGTTGATGTGGTTCATAGAAGTGATTTTCTCAGGACCCAGAGCAAGGTGGAGGATGGCTGTGGCTCTAGAGGGGGAAGGGGGCAATATTCAGCAAAACATTAGAAAACAAATTGCTACTAAGGAAAGGAGAGTTATAAGAATATTTGAGCATTAACCAATTCATCTGAAAAAATCCTTATTTACTAGGAGTAAACTTTTGTACCTTAAAAAAAAATCAATAATTTATTATCCTCTGCTTTTTGGGAGTACTATAGAGTCTAAATAGGAAAGACATGAAGATTTTATCCTTCATGTAGCAATTTTTTCTTTATTGTGGTTAGTCTGCCCTAGCATTCTGCATTCTATCACTGGTGAATTGTCTGCTCTTCATTATTAACAAAACTTATGCCCCAACTGCATATGGTATTCAAGAAGTTTAATTCATAAATGCATTTTTTCGTATATAAAGCAGAGCTATTTTGTCATTATGTGTATCTGTTAAATACATGAAACATGAAGGAATTTTTTGACAGTTCATGTTCGTGTGTGTTAATTTGACAGATTTATTTACATTGTGTTTAAGAAGATATTGTGACATAATAATTGACATTTAATAGGCTTATTTCTCACATTTAGAAGCAATCACGAATCTTTGCTCACTTGGGGAAATGTGTCAGCCCATTATAAGAGTTTTATTAATGCTTTTCTAGAGGGAGATTAATAAGTAGATTATTAGCCCAAAGATGTTAAAGTACTTTTAAAGATACTATAGATCTTAAGTATCTTTTACAGTGCAAATAATATCTGAGGCTTCATCATACCAAAATAAAGTCCAAACGGGCAAATGTCCCAGAGACATTTTAGTTCTCAGTAACAAACCAACTCAATCTAGATTAAACACAAGTGGAAATCTATTTTATACTAATATAAATGTATATTAATATAAATGTGTTTATTACTTCTGTGAGAAATCCATATGGTTATCTCCCAGACATAATATGTAAGAATTGTAACTGAGATTCACAAAAGACCAGAACAAGGAATTTAGAAACTGTTAGGTAATTTGGCTGCCATTCTCTATGCCTCTCCCTCCCTGTTTCTCCCTCTTTCCCCACTTCTGTGTCTCTGTCGCTCCCTGTCTCTGTCTCTCTTTCTCTGAGGTTGCATGGTTTCTTTTCTCTGCCAGTGTTTGTTCATCCGCTTCATTCTTCTTTCTGCAGACTGGATTTTTCTGTATTATTTCTCTGTGGCCTAAATGTGGTCTTTTACAACCCATACTTTATGTGTCCTTGGCTTAGAAGTATACCACCTGCAGCTGATAGGGTCTGTCCCGTCTCGGGGATGAAAAAGGGATAATTATGAATAAGACTCACTGTTGAGTACAGGCATTCATTGGATTGGCACCCTCTAGTCTAATCAGTTTTGCTCAGTTTCTTATTAAGGCACGTGAGCAAGATTAGTACCCCTTGAAACAAGCAAAGATAATCTATGGTATTATTATATATATATATATATGTAAATCTTTTCAGGGAATTTGATTGTTTCTTTTAAATTTCCACACGAATGTTTACAAATAGTACACCCAAGTTCAGCTAGCAAATCGAAATCTAGTTCCATACTCTGTAGTGAGTTCACAACACATTAAAGGATTAGAAAACATTTGAAGTAAAATACTTATTACTATGTCAGTATTCTATTTATTAAAATCGTGTTCATTTGTCTCTTTCATTCCTCACAGGAAGTGCTGTAACTATGCACACCACCGATGATAGTGATGAATACTTGTAAAACACCTGTAGAAACATTAGGATCAATTTAAATGATATTTTGATTACAGATAAAGCAAATTCATTTTCAATATTAAGCAGTTCTATAAACACTGGCATTTACCCTTCTTCTTCAATTTCCAGCGAAAGAGGAATGCATTTTGGTTAGATAGAGAACATTTCAGTAGTTCCTAATGTTTGTTCAATATACAGAACAGTATATCAGAAGTAGTATTTTTTATCACCAGAATTTATTTATTTGTTGCTCTTGTGAGTCATTCACTTACCAACCATTTTCAAATATCTGTTTATACAAGGCATGGTACTTACTGCTAGGAGTATATATAAAGTTTGAATTTGATCAATATCCTTCTCTTAAGGAACTTAAAATCTAATAATTGTCTAACACAGTCTATTTGACTACTATATGACCTGGAAAGTAGTATATATAGTAAGAGAAGTATAGATCAATTTATATTCAGAGGAATAAACAGTTATTTCTATTGGTGGTGGCAGCCTGGGGAAGATTGGAGAAATTTCATGAAGAAAATAGAATTTCAGGTGGGAATGTTCAGGAATTAAATATATAATATATATAGACAAAATACAAACAATACGTTTTCAGTAAGGACTGAAAATTGGGGAAGTAAAGGGGTTTGTTTATTAAACAGTCAGAAGTCATGATTAGTTAGTCCAAAAGGTCCAGAAAATGGAAACAATGAAAAGCAAGATCTTCGTATTCTCAGTTGGAGAGTTTGGACTTGGTTCTCATAATACTTGGAGAACCTGTCATTTGTTCTTGTATCACAGATATATTAATGCCTGTTAATTTTTTTAATTGTTCACTTTTACTGTCAATGTGTCATGGTTTGGGGGAAAAAATGCAGTGTCACTCTAGCTAAAGAATACAGACTGTTTTCAACTCTCAGCTTACTTGAAATCGCTTTTAGGTTGAGACAAACACATGTTCACAGTTAAAGGTATAAGTACAGATGTCACAGAACAGTTTGTGATTAATTACCAAATGAGTGATGTAGACAATGATAGCTTTAAGTTTGGGAGAAGTGACCTCAGGATTAGCTGTTTGAGACTACGCTGTTCACACTGAGTAGAATATTGAAGGATTCCCCTCAATCATTTTCTTGTGGTCTGCTTGCTGGTTTCCAGAACTGTTGTGGCATTTTTTGAATCCTAATTTCATGTCCTAAACATTTTGAGCCAAATGTCATTGTGATTTTATATAGTTTTACTCAGTTATTCATCTTCTGGAAAGTCATTTTTGCTACTCAGATAGAAATAAAAATACATACACTAAGGTTGCAGTCTCTAGACACAAGAAAAAGTGGGAATATGTTTTGCCTCCAGAACTGCCAGACATCCGTTATTCTGACTCCTGAATGGATAGGTCAAGCCAGTCTTAAGCATTTAATTACTACAGTTGAGGTGTAATATTAAATGTAGCAGTCTCTTTATTTGAGACAGTTTCTGTAACCTGGTGAAAATAATCACTTTAGTGCTGGATGTTAAGTATTTTTGGTGACATCAAATCATGTTCCCATGCTTTAACAAGCTGGATTGGGAGTTCCCATTACTATAATAGAATAAGTTAGTATGTTTCTTACCCAGTTTCCAGAAAAATGTTGATGATTTGAATGTTCACAATTTTAGGTTTTTCTTCTGTGCTGAAGAAGTAACAAAGAAATCAAAACTCAAGTTAGTTTGGCAGCTTGTGTTTTCCACTGATAAATGCTAATGGCTGTGCTTTTTTGTTGCTATGTATCAGCAGTCATTTTTCTTCTGGCAAATGTGATAGAGTTAAATATATTAGTATTTCATGGGAGTTTTGTGAAAGACCATCAACAATTTATATGAACCCTTTCCTGAGTAAGTACAACAGCCTTACTGGTAGTGATGAAAGATGCAACAGGGGAACCAGTTGTCTAATATCCTTTCTTTTCTTAATCTTGTATTTGGTGGGTGTACACAAACGCTTTAAATAATCAATCAGCATATAATTGAGAATTTACCGTGTACCTTTAGCAGGAGCTTTCTAGAGGACCCGGAAAGTCTGTCTGTAACATGCACTCATATTCTCAATAACCTTAGTTTAACTCAAAGAAAAACTACCCCAGTATTAAATTTTATAAGACAGTTAAGTGCTAAATTGACATAGATGTTCAGAAAAGGAGTAATCAAAGTCTTCAAGAGATCAAGGAAGACTTCTTGGAGATGAGGAGACTTACACTGGATCTCAGAAGCCAGAAAGGCAGAAAGAAGGGTTTGTCTGAAAAGAGCAGCAAGCACAATGAACATGGACTTTGGTCTGACTGGAGTAGAGGGTGCTGATTAGGGTCTGCTGGAAGATAAGATGAGTCAGGTTTGACCAGGTTAAGAACATGATCCCAGTGTTTCACATTGTCTTAAGCAGTCTCACAACTAGCTAAATGATTCTTCCTGTGTGTAACTCTTCAAAGCTTTAAAAAGGAGCATTTGAATCCTCAAATCATTTTTTTGGTTAAATGTGCTTGTAATTCAGTTAAGATTGTATAATTAGCTTTATTACCTAAATTAGAAAAGAAATATAATCAACTACTTTGAGAGTCTTTGCTTACATATTCTGTTGTCTTTATATTCTGGGGAAAAGTTTGGTAAAATCCATTCATTCAGAAGAATTTGGTGAGCGTCTTCATTGTGGCAAGCAGTAAATACCAGACCAGAGTTGCTCCCTCCATAGACCTTACAGTCTAGTAGTTGAAGGGAGTAGCAGGAAATGGGAAATAGTCAGGAAAATGGTCATTCAGGGAAGAGATGGTATGTTGCAATTTTCAGTAAGGTGATCAGGGAAGGGTAACTAAAAAGAGGATAGTTCTTCAGAATCAGTGAGCAAAAGTTAATAATATCTATGAGACTTTTTAAAAGCTTTGAAAGTTGATTGTTTTCGTAAGAATGTATTTTCTAAGATGTAAAAGGAAACTAAACTAGATGCTCAATTCCATGTGCCCACCGAATGGTTTTTCAGATGAATGCACTGGACACCCTTGGTCAGACTGCTTTGCATAGAGCTGCCCTAGCAGGCCACCTGCAGACCTGCCGCCTTCTGCTGAGTTACGGCTCTGACCCCTCCATCATCTCCTTACAAGGCTTCACAGCAGCACAGATGGGTAATGAAGCAGTGCAGCAGATTCTGAGTGGTGAGTTAAAATAGACCAACAGGGCTTTTTATGTTTTCTCTTCCATCCCTGCTGAAATACACAGACAAACTTTGCAGTGTTTACTTTGCCTGAAGTTTGTCTCATGCCTTTTCTTGCAATTTAGCCTGTGGCCTTCCCCATCTCCGTTTTTAGGTAGGGTAAGGTAGGTATCATAGGAAGGAAGCAAATACAGCTTTTAATTTTTTGGGGTTTAAATTGAAAACCTGACTCATGAGTGTTCTGATCAAAGATGACTTAAAACTCATATAAACAGTGTGGATTTATGGTAGCTATAAAATCTATCAAATAGAGAAAATCATAAATCATTCATATGGTAATGACATTTAATTAATTGTTCTTACCTGTGTAATGTTCTGACATACTTTTAAAATTCTTCATGACACTATTATAAAATTATCTTTTCTTTTTCTGGCCTTAATATATTTATAGGCCTGGCGTGGTGGCTCACGCCTGTAATCCCAGCACTTTGGGAGGCCGAGGCGGGCAGATCACGAGGTCAGGAGATCAAGACCATCCTGGCCAACATGATGAAACCCTGTCTCTACTAAAAATAGAAAAATTAGCTGGGCGTGGTGGCACATGCCTGTAGCCCCAGCTACTTGGGAGGCTGAGGTAGGAGAATCGCTTGAACCCGGGAGGTGGAGGTTGCAGTGAGCTGAGATCACACCACTGCACTCCAACTAGGGTGACAGAGCAAGACTCTGTCTTAAAAAATAAATAGATAAATACATACATACATAAATAATAAAAATACATATATATAAAATCTTGCCGAATGTTTCAGTGTCTGCCTGGTATGGTGTTAGATATTTTAAACATAAACTGATAAGAAAATAGATATTGGCTTCCTAAGTCCCAAAACTAGAGGAAGTAACGCAGTCTACCTACTGACAAAATGATGAACTATAATCAAAAGAAATTTAGTGTAATTCACCTCTTTCCTAACCGTTTAATTTTGTCTGTGAATTATATCTGCTGTGGAATGAAATGACAAACCAGAAGAGTAAAATGTAGAAAGCTGTAGACTAGGAGTCAGAAGTTCTGGTTACGTTTTTCTACCTGCAGGCTGGTAGTTCTTAACTCTATCAGGTGCAGTGCCCGCTTTTTATAAAGAATGTCTTATGACATCTTCTTTAATATTCACAAGTGAAATTCATAGATAGTATGACCTAACTGTATAGGGACCTTTCCAGAAATCTATATAAATGCCCTAACTAGGCTGGGCGCAGTGGCTTACGTCTGTTATCCCAGCACTTTGGGAGGATGAGGCAGGTGGATCACGAGGTCAGAGTTCGAGACCAGCTTGGCCAACATGGTGAAACCCTGATCTCTACTAAAAGTAAAAAAATTAGCCAGGTGTGGTGGTGCGTGCCTGTAATCCCAGCTACTTGGGAGCTTAGGCAGGAGAATCGTTGGAACCCGGGAGGCGGAGGTTGCAGTGTGCCAAGATCGCGCCACTGCGCTCCAGCCAGCCTGGGCGACAGAGCGAGACTCCATCTCAAAAATAAAAATTAAAAAAAGCCCTAACTATAATATAAAGGGAAAATTACAATAAGTTACAATAAAATAATTTATAATTCTTACGTAAATAGATTGGACATGACTGTATTAGAAGACAAAACATGACCCCACAAATTTCTACAAGGACCCCAAGGAATACAGGCCAGTCAGTTCGCTGGGCGTGCTGGCGGGCTCCTGTAGTCCCATCTACTCAGGAGGCTAAGGCAGGAGAATGACGTGAACCTGAGAGGCAGAACTTGCAGTGAGCTGAGATCGCGCCACTGCACTCCAGCCTGAGCGACAGAGCGAGACTCCGTCGCAAAAAAAAAGAAAGAAATACAGCCCAGTCGAGAATCACTGCTATATGATGCAACAGGGACCCTTCCAGAGCTTGTAGAGATCATGATATGTGTTTGTTATTATAGGTAGATCAGAGCTAAATAGCATAATAAAACTAATTGTACAACATTGTGAAAACTATTGATGAGGATTTGTTTTCCTCATGCTAGGTCGTTCGTAAATAGGGATCATTCTACTTCAGCTTTAATGGTGATCTTTAGACGGGAAGATTTAGAAGGAAATCTATCTAGCGTGTCTTCACTATCAAAATAAGATCCAGCTGAACAAATGAAATTTCCTATTATAAATAAGATCCAGCTAAACAAATGAAATTTCCTGTTATAAATTTCAAGTTTGAACTCAAAAGAAAAAAAAAAAAGACTTTGACTTCCTGTTTCTATGGAGTGATAGAACATTTGCTTAAAGAAGATATTACTCCTTGCCTAGGAAATATTTCTTCCCTCTCAGTAAATTCTAATAATTTCTAAAAGTTGTTTATTTTGTTAAAATTTCTAAATTTTCTCATTTTACTAAGAATCACTTAGTACCGAATTTTAGTTTCTGTACGTTTTAACCATAAATCAGGCAAACACATAGCTTTGCATCAAATTATGTGCATAGTTTTTAGAGATAATTAACAAAATGGAGAAGAAAGTATTGAATAAATCAAGCGTATTAGAGCCATGTAATGCTTTTAAAATGTCTTCTAACTGAATGCAGTTAGAACATATGAGTTCTCGCAAAAGATAAAACTAAATACTGAATACAAATTAAATATTTTTCTTCGATTATTTTGATAAATCTGCTTTAAAATTGATTTTTGAAATAAGACATTATATAGGTAATTAAATGCTTAATTTGGAACATGCAGAACTTTTTAGTTTAATTCTTTATTGAGCTGGAAAGCTAATACAAATAAAAAATACATATAGGAAAATTTTGCCATCCAAAAGGTTATTTATTTGTTTTTTTGTAATGGGAATTGTTTCTTATTTGAAATAGGATATGTTTTTAAACTAATATTTTTACCAGGAATTTGTATGTCTCCGTAGACTATGGACCATGCATTAGCTGAACTTTTTAGTTATCATTTAGTAATCCAATATCAGGTTATATCTATAATGACTTCTGAAAGAATGTATTAATATCAGTCAAATAAGATGTACAGTAATTTGTTCTGGATAATATTTTATGAGATTCACTTAAATACACTTGTTAATACCAGATTTGAGATCTACTTTAGAAACCTGCACTTTCAACTCCCAAGTCTGTAATTGCCAGAAGTTTACATTAATAAACTTTTCATTATAAACTGCTGGCAATATTTATGTCAAAACTAACATCAATGTAAAAAAAACAGGCAGCTTTTTATGAATTAGCACTTTAAAACATTATTTCAAAAGATTTGATTTCTTTCTCTAGACTTGCTCTTTCCAATATGGTAGCCACTAGCTACATCTGGCTACATTTAAACTAATTAAAATTAAATAAAATGGAAAATCCTTCCATTAGTTACACTAGCCACATTTCAGATATTCAGTAGTCACACATGGCTAATGGCTACCATAATAGCACAGATAACACTATTTCTAGCACCACAGACAGTTCTTTGGTCATTTAAGTTCGATCTTGACCTGAATTCTTGTGATTGTATAACCCAGTGTGGGAAAAGCATTACTTTCATCTACACAGGTGAAGATTAGGCTTATGATAGCTAAATTAAACACTGAAACACCATTTACAGTGGCACATTGAAATAAGCCACTAAGACCTGTTGCCAGTCCAGTAGTCTAACACTGACCAAACTACCAGTCTATAAAAGATGTTTTTGAAAATAGGCTGCCTTCTAGCGCTTCCAACTTTTTAAAAACTCTAATGAGTCAGAATAAGATTGGAGACAAAATAAGAAGCCCATCTTTAATCTTTGATTCTAGGTGACTATAATTTCATGTTCTACAGGCTGAGCATGGTGGCTCACTCCTATAATCCCTGCACTTTGTGAGGCTAAGGTGGGAGGATTGCTTGAGCTCAGGAGTTCAAGACCAGCTTGGGCAACATGGTGAAACCCTGTCTCTACAAAAAAACTTTTTAAAAATTAGCCGGGTATGGTGGTGCATGCCTGTGGTCCCAACTACTTAGGAGGCTAAGACAAGAGGATCTCTTGAGCCCAGGATTTCAGGACCAGCCAGGGCAATATACTGAGACCCCATCTCTAAAAAAAGAAAGAACTAAACAAATACATAAATAAATGTCACATATACAAACCCAGCATACTTATAAAGAATTTTACTAATATAGTACTTTGCATACCAGCTACTCTTTCACTCATATTCCTTTTTTAATTTCATTTTTTATATCTTTTTTAATTGTGCATCACTTTGTACAAAGTTCCTGGGCTGTATATAAGTCATTTCATCTAATAACATTTTTTACATTAGTTCTAAAAATAAGTCTATCCTAGGCCTATTCAAGGTTTATAATAGGTGCAGGTCTTTAAAGTCTATATAGTAAAACCAATATTTTAAACATCTTTACTTTCTCCTCTTTAACCAGGACTAATAATTCTTTTCTCGTAGTTCCAGAAGCATTCTTATATTTGCTTAAGACTTTTTGCTTGATTGGAAAATTATACTCTTTAGTAGACAGTCTGCATCAAGATATGTGTTCCAATTTCAAATAGTTCTTAGATTTCAAAAATTTAGCCATATTAAATGTATCCTTAAAGTGCTATCATCTAAAGATACTATCAGAACTCTATATACATAAAATAACTGTCTCTTTATTTTGTTGAAATGATAAACTAAAAATATTACCTGTAGATATTGAAAGGACATATCAGTGAATTTTGTCAATTCCAGAATCACTGTCATAGAGGCATAATATACACACAGCATCTTACCTATAAATGCAGTAGTGTATGTGCACACTTATAATGGAGACTAATGAGACATGAAAGAACAGAATAAGAGCAGCCAAAAAAAGAGCTGATTTGACAGACACATTGAGCCCAGTACATAGTGGAAATCAGTCCAGCAAATGCTTTCAGAATGTTCTCTGTGTGAAAAGGAATATAAAGATGAGCGAGATGTGGTTCCTTTCCTCAACAGTTCCGCAAACTAAAAGGTAATATCACTCTTTAAAATAATTCAAAGATTTACTTTGTTATGTGAAACACTGTTTTTTTCCCTCCCTTAACCTCAGCATTCTACCTGCTATTATGATCAAATAAGTAGTTTATCTTTTACTGAAGAATTGTCATAACTTATTCTGTGAAAGCCACTCTCTCCTGAAATGTAAAACCTCTTCACAGCATCAGTTTATCTTCCCACTTGGACAGTGGGCTCAAAAAAGATGTCTCTGACCATAAGGTAATGCAGTCTTAGATCTGAAAGGTTTTCAGCACTCACTTGCTAAGGGCAAAAACTGAGCTGTTACATGATTTGTCCAAAGTTGTAGATTATAGAGCCCAGTCTAAAATTTAGGCCTCCTAGAGCGCCATCCTTTTGTGTTACGTCTGTGTACTCATTCTAAAAGCCACACTTCATGTACATAAACATACTTTTGGTTGACATAGTATAAATTGTTTTCTTTAAAAACTTATTTTATTTGGGTCAATGTGAAATGAATTTCAGTTTATTTATATTGGATTAATCAAAATAATAACTCATTTGTTAGCCCCTAGACCTAACAGCCCAATTTAATTATATTCTATTTAGCATTGCTATCATACCTCCAATTATATAAACATTGAAAGTTGCATTTTCCTAAAGCCATTCAATAAATGTGAATTAAACAAATGTCTGTATTTAGTAGCCCTTTTCTGCTCACTGATTATACTTGATGATTCTGACTCCAAGATGATTCAGACTTCAAGAGTAGTACATTGAGACTAAAAGAAAAATCAAGGCTGGGTTCAGTGGCTCACATCTGTAATCCCAGCACTTTGGGAGGCTGAAGCAGGAGGATCACTTGAGCCCAGGAGTTTGTGACCAGCCTGGGCAACATGGTGAAACCCCATCTCTACAAAAAATACAAAAATTAGCTGGGCATGGTGGTGTACACCTGTGGTTTCAGCTATTCGGGGGCTGAGGTGGGGAGGATTGGTTGAGCCTGGAAGGTTGAGGCTACAGTGAACTGTGATCACGCCACTGCACGCAGCCTTTGTGACAGAGCAACTGTCTCAAAAATAAATACATACATACGTACATACATAGAAAAATTAAACATTAAGTACTGAAAGTTATATGGCTTCCCTAGGTTTATATAACAAATTTATGGCAAAGTTTTGCTACAACATTTAGTAAAACCAAACTAAATAATTTTTCCTCCTGAACTACTTTGTGATCCCTCAAGAACCATTTTTGTTTTCAAAATGAATGCAGTTGGAATATATGAGTCTGGAGATATATATATATAGATATCGATATCGATATCTATATATATATGTGAGTTCTTTCCTTCCTTTTATGCAGAGAGTACACCTATACGTACTTCTGATGTTGACTATCGACTCTTAGAGGCATCTAAAGCTGGAGACTTGGAAACTGTGAAGGTAAGTCAGTGCCCTTAATATCTGGGATAGCACTGTTGAACTTTGCTAACCAATTCATTTTTAAGCTTCTAAGTGTATCTACTCAAATACAAACAGTAAAAGGATGGTCAGTCATGGGCAGGAAAAATCTGTATTACTACTAAGGAATTCCCAGTATGTGCCTTATATTTATGAAACCATTTATATGTATGTGTGTGTGTGTGTATATATGTATATAGTTAGAGAGATGGATAGATACATACACACACATATACATGGTTTTTAGTAATTTTTCTTCAGGTTACATGAAAGCTCTTTTAATTTCACTTACATTAATTAAAATGTTACTATTTTTGGCCGCATTCACAAAATAAATAAACTAGATCGAGCCCAGACATTAGCAAGATGACATTTGAAACAATATTTCTTGATCTTTTCTCAGAGATTCACACATTTATTCTAGGAAAGCATTCCTGTGATCCCTCAACATTGGAATTATTCATATGCAGAAGATAGATTTTTTTCCCTGCGTAGCTTTACTTGCTTAGAAAATTTTATCAGTCTGTATTTGTGGTATAGAAACAATGGTTGTGGTTTTATTTTTTTTCAAATATAATCATATTCTAATACTGAGTATGCTTTTTTAAAGCACGCATTTCCCATCTATAATCATTCACTTAGGGATGAAGTTAGCAGAAGTTTTTTTGTTTGGAGGTTGTTCTTTTGGGGTTTGTTTTTTGTTGTTTTTTAAGAGACAGGGTCTTGCTGTATTGCCCAGGCAGGCCTCAAACTCCTGGTGCTCAAGCAATCTTCTTGCCTTACCCTGCTTGCTATCCACATAGCTGAGACTACAGGCATGCACCACTGCACCTGACTTTGCCTTTATTTTTATAGAAAAGTTAATAGTGAATTTGCTATTGACAGTCATAGTACTTTTTTATGATGTACTGTCAACTTTGTCACCTCTTCTTAAGCAAACTTCATTTTTGTGATTTTTAGTAAACTAATATTAGCCTTCTTGATAACATATACTGGTTGAAAGTGACGGTAAACACATTCTGAGCTCTGTTGCCTAGAAATTTTATTTTTGTTTTGATATGTGGGCACTTCCAGGATCACTTCCAACTTAAAATAGTATCTAAGTTATTTAAAGAACAATAGTAAATTTTAGTTGTGATAGCCACTAGGGAGAAATTTTTATGTTGTCTTAAATCTAAAACTATATATTTTTTCTTAAAAATACTTCACTTGAAATGTATTCCAATAAAATAAAATTCTTAAAGATGAAACGATTAGGCTTCCTTTCAGAACATGATCATCTCGGTGCCAGAATTGCTATATGTGCTTACTATAATTAATACATACTTTATTTTTAAAGTGCACAGTTTTAAATTCCATGTGTTTTGTACATGATGGGCAGATAAATACTACAGCTTTTAGGTTTCTTAAACAATCCATTCACAGTGAAGGCCAAATTTATTTTGATTTGTGGAATGGAAGTAGCAAAAGAAAACAAAGCAGCACAAATTGAGTGAGAATTAGGCCTGGTAAATTTCTTCTCCAAGAGACTTTAGAAAGTATTAGAATTGAGGTATTAGAAGAAAAGGCTGCCTGCTGAATAAAGCATTTGAAATTATGAAAAGTACGTAGGAAGGATGTAAAATTACTTTGGCATTCGAAAGAAAACTGAAACAGAATAAAGAATTTCTAAATCTTAAAAATCAAATACTTAATAAGCAGAATGGGCTTCTATTTCTGTAGCCTCACAAATTGAGTTGTGTTTCATTCCCTACTTATTCCTATTTTGTCAGTATTCTCTGCTAGAATAATAATAGAGTTAATTTAGAATGTGAGAACCAGTGGGGGAAAGCAGCATTAGGAAGAAGCTTCAATCATGTCAGACTCCATAGACGGTGTTTACTATCAATTTTTGCATCTTTTCTTTTTGATTTATGTATTAATTTTTTTGTTTTTATTTAATTTGTCAATTGTGCTATTTATATATCAATATAGCCACAGACTCATTTGTCATGAAAAGATACTTGACCTGGCCAGATGACAATGGCTCTTCAGATTTTAGAGGCTGCTGCATTTCTGTGTAGAGTTGATGAGATTGTGAACTTGCCCTTAGCATCCAGACTCCTTCCTGTCGTGTGAAAATTACACCACTTTGAAAGAGCTTGTTTTTATCCTACCTGTGTGAAAGCTTCTTGCCTTAGTCTATTTGTGCTGCTAAAAAAAAAAAAATACCATAGACTGGGTGATTTCTAAGCAATAGAAATTTATTTCTCTCAGTTCTGGAGGCTAGGAAGGGGTACTGGTTCCAGATCCAGGTACTGGCAGGCTTAGTGTCTGGTGGGGACCCTGTCTGTCTGCCTTCAAGGTGGTGTCTTGTGGCTGCCTCTTCTGGAGGGGGCACATGCTGTATCCTCACTTGGCAGAAGGCGGAAGAGCAAAACGGCCAAATGCTGTGTGAAGCCTCTTTTAGAAAGGCCTTAAGCCCACCTTCAGGAGGGAAGAGCCTGCATGACCCAGTCACCTGCTTAACTCTATTGCATTGGAGATTAAGTTTCAACATGAATTCCAGAAGGACACAAACATTCAACCCATAGCACTCCTACTTACTCTATCAGTAGAAATCTTTCAGGTTCTTAATTTCTATGTAGTAATAGCTTATTACAGTGGCGGAAGTGGCAGCAAAATTAGTGAATGCCTGAAAATCCCCAAAGACCCTGCAATCATCCTTTATAGCCTAGAGCATGCATGCTATTGTCTGCTCTTCTTTATTTGCTTTTTCTAATTTTCATTGCCTTTCTTCTGATCATTTCCCTCAAGTTGGATAATTAGGGAAGTAAGCAATGATACATGATGTAGCACAAAGACCAGGAGGTTAAAAATCAGTAAAGCAGGGTTTGAGTCTTTATTCTACCCCTTACCAACTATTTGAAAAGGATGTCACTTAACCTTCATCCCTGATTTGTTTATCTGTAAAGTTAATTTATAAATTAACCTCCATCCCTGGTTTGTTATCTATCAACTTCATAGATAATTTCCTCACTAAAAGAATATGATACTCTTTTTTTTTTGAGATGGAGTCTTGCTCTGTCACCAGGCTGAAGTGCAGTAGCAGGATTTCGGCTCACTGCAACCTCTGCCTCCCAGGTTCAAGTGATTCTCCTGCTTTAGCCTCCCGAGTAGCTGGGACTACAGGCGTGCGCCACCATGCCCAGCTAATTTTTGTAATTTTAGTACAGACGAGGTTTCACTATGTTGGCCAGGATGGTCTCGATCTCTTGACCTTGTGATCCGCCCGCCTTGGCCTCCCAAAGTGCTAGGATTGCAGGCGTGAGCCACCACGCCCAGCTGATACTCTTTATAAACTGTAAATTATTATTCAGCTATTATCATTACTCACTTATTACCACCAGTGATACAGTCTTTCATTCCTTACGTGGCATCCTGGTGCTTTGTAAACAAATTGAGCTTACAATTTAGATTGTGCTGAAATTGAAGCATTCAGAGAGAGATAAGGAGACACAGAAGAGATTTGGGGGACGTCTCTGAAAGAGATGGAAGTAAAGCCCAAAAACTAGGGTATGATTAAAAAACCAGTTTAACTTGTAAAGGTAAGCAAACATTGCCCCAAAAGTCAAGTAAAGACCTGTTGACTACATAGCTTGGCTATAGTCAATCATAAGACTGAGGGAGAGGCCCAGGCAGAAAAATAATTTTTCCAGAGCCTTTTTGCTCACTTGACTCACATTAGAGAAGACAAGAGCTCTCTAGTTACATAGTCAACTGAGGTTGGTGTTAGCACAAGCAGGTGTGCCGTGACAAACAGTATAGCATATCTCAGGGAGGAAAGACAAAGATAAAACAGTAAGGCAGTATTTGCATTGAAAATGCTTGCTTTATTGTGGGTTTTTCTGTTTGATTCTGATTTTGGTCAGGAAATGTTGAAAAACATTAATTTGCTCTGTATATAATAAATATTTGTAGTCACTGTAAAGCGTAGTGCTGATTTCTAGACATTTGTATTGTTTAATCTTTGGAAATAAATATTCATTAGAAAATTATAATTTATCCAAGATGTTGCACTATTTTGGGGCAAAACCTGTGAATAAATAGTAATGTTTGTTTTGTGTTTGTCTCTGTGTGTGCACCACAAAAGCAACTTTGCAGCCCTCAAAATGTGAATTGTAGAGACTTAGAGGGCCGGCATTCCACGCCCTTACACTTCGCGGCAGGCTACAACCGCGTGTCTGTTGTAGAGTACCTGCTACACCACGGTGCCGATGTCCATGCCAAAGACAAGGGGTACGTGTTAGAAGTTAGCTGTTTGGGAGTCGTTCTCTTCATGCTTAAAAAATTTTTAAATATTTTTGAAGTCTTAGATTTTTTCCTTATTAAAAAAGTAATCCTTATTTTTTTGTTTAAAACATAAATTAAAACATAGAAATGTCACGCCTGTAATCCCAGCACTTTGGGAGGCCAAGGCGGGCGGATCAACTGAGGTTGGGGGTTTGCAACCAGCCTGACCAACATGGAGAAACCCCATTTCTATTAAAAATACAAAATAAGCTGGGTGTGGTGGTGCACGCCTGTAATCCCAGCCACTCGGGAGGCTGAGGCAGGAGAATTGCTTGAACCTAGGGGGTAGAGGTTGTGGTGAGCTGAGATTGCTCCACTGCACACCAGCCTGGCAACAAGAGTGAAACTCTGTCTCAAAAAAAACAAAAACAAAACAAAACAAAAAACAGAAATATGCCGGGCGCAGTGGCTCACGCCTGTAATCCCAGCACTTTGGGAGTCCAAGGCGGGCGGATCACCTGAGGTCAGGAGTTTGAGACCAGCCTGACCAACATGGTGAAACCCCGTCTCTACTAAAAATACAAAATTAACCAGGCATGGTGGCACATGCCTGTAATCCCAGCTACTCGGGAGGCTGAGGCAGGAGAATCGCTTGAACCCGGGAGGTGGAGGTTGCAGTGAGCTGAGATCACGCCATTGCACTCCAGCCTGGGCAACAAGAATGAAATTCCGTCTCAAAAAAAAACAAACAAACAAACATAGAAATGTACAGTATGGAAAGTGAAAATTTCCTGTCAGCTCACCTCTTGCTCAGAGATACAGCATTAAAATGTTGAGTGTATTCCTCCAGATACTGTAAATGCATAGACTTGTCTGTGTGCTGTGGTGGCGGTAGTGGTTTTTAACACAAATGGTGGTACCATCCTATACGGTCTGCTTTGCAGTTTACTTTTTTCCACCCAATAGTGTATCTTGAATAGTGTTCCCATATCAGTACTTAGTAGTCTCATTCTTTTAATGTTTGTATATAGTATTTTATTGCATTATATAAATTTTGTTTTGTTTTGTTTTTGAGACGGAGTCTCACTTTGTCACCCAGGCTGGAGTGCAGTGGCGCGATCTCAGTTCTATGCAAGCTCCGCCTCCTGGGTTCACACCATTCTCCTGCCTCAGCCTCCCGAGTAGCTGGGACTATAGGCACCCACCACCATGCCCGGCTAATTTTTTGTATTTTTAGTAGAGATGGGGTTTCACTGTGTTAGCCAGGATGGGCTTGATCTCCTGACCTCGTGATCCACCCACCCAGGCCTCCCAAAGTGCTGGGATTACAGGCATGAGCCACCAAGCCTGGCCCTATATGAATGCTTTTATATAGTCTGTAAGTTATTGTTTATTCTTCTTTTTTGCTATTAAAAATGTATAGTCTCTTCTAAAAAGAAGTCATCCATCCCAAAGTCATCAGTATTCCTAGAAGCATAAGTTTATTTTTACTAATTCAGATACTCTATATTTTATATTAGTTTGTTAAATTATTTTAATTTGTCTAGACAAAGCCTAAGGCAGCTACTTAGAAATGTGAGAAAGGTATTTTACTGATAGGAATTCCCGTGTTGTGAGTTAATTTCACATCATCTCAAAATAAGCCAATAGCTTTCTGTGTAATTACATAGCAGTGCACAGTAGAATTAAACTGCACGATTTAGGCCTCATTGAATCATTATGTATTTATTTATCTTTTAAAAGGGACACATCAGACATGAATATTCACTAACAATATCACTAGTGCTTTCCAAGTGTTACAGTGTATTGGAGAGCAAGCAGCATTTGCTTCTATTGCTCATTTTAACACTTAGCATATTTCATCCCAAAACTAAAAAAAAAAAAAAAAAAAATACACTCAATACTTTGCTTCTGCCATGTGTTAAGTTCAACATTTTATTCTTTGGATGCACTCTTTTGTGGGAGCATCTTTTTGTCCTTTTAGAATGTCAACTGCTTACTAATCAGAGCTTAGACTCCTCTCAGAATAGTTTGCCCATTTCTTATGTGAGTAGCACTTATAGTTGACATCATCATTTTTCTCACTGAATACTTTGCTGAATTACCTGGATTGTGAATTTTCATTGTTTGGTACCTCAGTATTTAAACCTGTGCACGGAAGTCACCACTGAATCACCACTATGATTAAACCACTATGATTCAATCACCACTATGATTTAAACAACTTTTTACCAAGGTAGAACTTGCCTAAATAAGTTAATTGCATTATATTTTTTATAAGTAAGCATACAATTTTCATTAGTAAAACTCATAAAGATAAGGATCGCTGTGAGTATATATCCATCCCCAAGAAACTTAGGCAAAAGTCTTTACATTGAAAGGACATTTTTGGAATTACTACTCCTTATTTACAAATGGATAACTATATCTTAAAGAACAGAGGTGGGTGTGTTTCTTTTTGAGCAGTGTTCAGTATAGTCAGTACCGTAGAAGAATGGTAGTATTTTTGTTATAAGAATCATTTTAACTCGAAGGTTTGTTTTATAACTTTAAAATACTTTTCTTTTGTTTAGTGGCTTGGTGCCCCTTCATAATGCCTGTTCCTATGGACACTATGAGGTGGCTGAGCTTTTAGTAAGGCACGGGGCTTCTGTCAATGTGGCGGACTTATGGAAATTTACCCCTCTCCATGAAGCAGCAGCTAAAGGAAAGTATGAAATCTGCAAGCTCCTTTTAAAAGTATGTAGTTTAAAAAGTTATGAAATATAGACTAATTGTATTTATATTTTGGTTATTACTTGAAAGTAAGTTGGGGTATGTTATTCTATTAAGGACAATACTGCTGTAGAGACTGCTCTCATTTTCTATTTCCCCGAAGACTGTTTATGTGTTATGATACATAGCTTAATATCTGAAATGGTTTGATTAAGTCCACGTCATAAAAATTCATCAAAGTAGGTTTTAGAAAGAGCTGAAATAGTTTGCATTGCTTATCTAGTACTTATAGTATTAATAACAGAAAAAATTGTACAGGAGAAACAAGCTTTTCAATCAAGTTGGTTTTTTTTTCCTTGTTGGCTATTTTATTATTGTTAACTAACTCATTCTTCATTAGTAAACATTAAACATTGTATCTTTTAAGAACTTATTTTAATAACATTTTTATTAAAATATAAGATAATCTCTAAACAAAGTTGTTCATATAGATTTGAGATACATGTAAAAGAGTAAAAACTAGTAGTTATATGAAACTAACTATAATTTATGCTCACCTTAAGTTAAGGGATATTTTTGAAAAACGACCAGATGTGTATTTATGAGATTTTCTCTTGCTTTTTTTAACTACAGAAAAAAAAAGTTGATGTGTTTAAATAAAATTCTTCTCCCTTCACTTTTATGATATCAAATATGTTCTTATGAATCTTGAGAAAAACCCAATATCTGATTCTCATTTTTATTATCTCTGGTTGGTAAGAAATAACTTCCAAGTCATTGTGAGTCCATTGTCCAGCCTGACTCACAACCAATTTCTGCAGTGAGCCCACGGCAGTTTGTGGCCAACCCATAATAAAAATTACTGACTTCTATTTACTTTATTTAATAGGTATTGGTAATTAAACTTTTAAAATCTATAATTTTTAATACATTTATATCTAATTTCATGGTAGATGTTAAGACTTAGGATAAAAATATTAAAAATATTACCAAACTTTATTCTTACTAATTCTAAAGATGGCCTTTAGAATTAAGTCCTTTTTTACCAGTGTGTCTTACTCTCTTCTTTTTCATACCTACCGAGTATCTTTATGTAATTGAATCTGGTCAAAATTAACATCCATGCTATTCTTCAAAGTAAAATAGGTTTCCAAAGACAACTTGGAATCAGAGAAAAAGTATATTAAACAAGTTATCTCAAAGATACTTAACACTCTCCCTGCTTTATCATCACCATTGATCCTGAAGCTTTTACTGAGTAGTATTAATAGTTAGAAAGCTGATCCATTATATTGCTAAGTAGGAATTTTGCAAAGTGTTTTTCAAAATGCATATAGAGTAGATACCTTCCCCTGGAGGAACAAAGGTAGAGTAAATTAAGTACCTACCTACCTACCTACTTACTACAGAAAGATACTATAGAAAATACAAACCCCATTTGGTTTTTCTTCTTTGTAGCATGGAGCAGATCCAACTAAAAAGAACAGAGATGGAAATACACCTTTGGATTTGGTAAAGGAAGGAGACACAGATATTCAGGACTTACTGAGAGGGGATGCTGCCTTGTTGGATGCTGCCAAGAAGGGCTGCCTGGCAAGAGTGCAGAAGCTCTGTACCCCCTAGAATATCAACTGCAGAGACACCCAGGGCAGAAATTCAACCCCTCTGCACTTGGCAGGTGAGCGCCCCCAGTGCCTCCACACCTCCTTTTCCTTTCTCAGACACCTGATACAGTGTACTAAAAGATGAAAGCCATGCTGAACATAAATGGGACTACTTAGTAAAATGCTCTTGATTGACATAGTTTTGTATAATTTCTTATTGTGAAGTCCCTCCATTATGAGATAATAGTATTAACTTTTGAAGCAAAAAGTATTAAAACGTTAACATTTTCTGGTCCTTATTTTATATGTATGTATTTTTTTTCTTTTAAGCTGACAGGTTTCCTATATTTTTTTTACTCTAAATAGCAGGCTACAATAACCTGGAAGTAGCTGAATATCTTCTAGAGCATGGAGCTGATGTTAATGCCCAGGACAAGGGTGGTTTAATTCCTCTTCATAATGCGGCATCTTATGGGGTAAGCATACTAACGTTGAAAGCTAGAAAACTGGCCGGGCACAGTGGCTCACACCTGTAATCCCAGCACTTTGGGAGGCCAAGGCAGGCGGATCATGAGGTCAGGAGATCAAGACCATCATGGCTAACACGGTGAAACCCTGTCTCTACTAAAAATACAAAAAATTGGCCAGGCATAGTGGCAGCCGCCTGTAGTCCCAGCTACTCGGGAGGCTAAGGCAGGAGAATGGTATGAACCTGGGAGGCGGAGCTTGCAGTGAGCTGAGATTGTGCCACTGCACTCCAGCCTGGGCCACAGAGCAAGACTCCATCTCAAAAAAATAAATAAATAAAATAAAATAAAATAAAATCTAGAAAACTTCCCTGGCATTTACGACTTTGTTAAATGCATACTATGCGTTAAGTGAGTAGATATCTAACTAATAGCATGATTTAGCACAATTTTAATCTTTTGTTCAGAGTTTTGGTGTTTCTTCCCAGCTAAACTTAACTACCTTTTGGCCAACAATCATGCTTTTTATTGCTTTTTGGTCTCAGCACATTATCAAGCACAATAATAGGCATGTAACGGGTGTTCAGTTTATATTTGTCAGTAATATAATATAATATATAAAATAATATAATAAATATCAATTTCTTAACTGTACTCCAAGTAGATTTTAAAAACTATAAAAGCTGTGTGGCTGTTATACAGGCATGGAAAGTATGGTGGCTTACATTTATCTTCAGCACTTTAAAAATATTCGAGTAGCCAGGCACAGTGGCATGTGCCTGTAATCCCAGCCATTCAGGAGGCTGAGGTGGGAAGATCGCTTGAGCCCAGGAGTTCAAGGCCAGCCTGGTCAACATAGTGAGACCTCATTTAAAAAAAAAAAAAATTAAATGGTTGAGCAGTTGATATATATGGTTTCACAGAGTAGGAATTACTAGCTAAAACCTCCCAGTGAAAGTCCAGAGTTATCCTTTCAAACACTGTCATCAGTTGTAAGAGGAAGAGAAATGGATTGCAGTGCCTTGATGCCATATGTAGAACTGACTGAAAGTAACTAAGGCTCACTCAAGCCTGATGGCTCACGGCAGAAATAGGAGGAATGCTCATGTGCTTGACGGTTCATCCACTTAATCCCTTCTTGACTATAAAAACCCACAGATGCCAGTTCATACATACCAGGTGTTCTCACAGTTGGAATCACTATTGATAGAAGGTGGTTTCTAGATTTGCAAAAGCCTGACAAACTGTAAGTAAAAACCAAACCAAACCAACCACCTTGATGACCATATTCTTCCTCCTACTGCCTTCTCCCTGGCCCTTCGTGATGAGACTGTCATCTCTCAAGCCCATTCTACCAAGATCTGTATGACAAATCGGAGTGGGGATACTTTTAAGGAAAGCAATAATTCAGTTTTCTGAAAGAAAATTATGCCTCTAAGTATGATATAAATTAGTCAAAATTATATTTAATAAGTATTAGTACTGACATAGTCTTGAAACTACAATATTTAAAGTTATCTTTCTAAAGATGAGTAATCTTTTATTAAAATTCATATAAATTTTAACCTTCCTTCACATAAGGTTCTCAATTTCTCTGAACAACAAATACTTCTACCAAAGACTTGGCATGCTAAATATTTGCTGCTAACATACTACATATACATTTACATGTAATTCTTGACCCTTAAGTTATAACTATACATGTATATCATTTGGAGACTAATTTTCAGCACTTCTTAGCATAATTGTTCTCTTCATATGGTATTCTACTAATCCTTTTGCTTAGCTTCAGTTAGAGTTTATAAAGCCAATGGGATCAGTAGAACTGAAATTAGATCTTTTATTTTCTCTGTAAACCTGCTATGAGTAAGGACAGGTGGTAGCCATAGAATTATAATAATGAACCAGTCTAGTAAAGCTTATGTTAACACTGTCAACTGTGTAGACTACAGTAGATCCCATACATTGTGGATGTAGGGAAGTTCTACTCCATTAGCTTGCACCTTTCACAGTCTTTATAGCAGTCACGGCGGATAAGGAAAAGAAAAAATTTATAAAGTATTTTACCTTTTGATCCTCATTCTTCTCATGGGCTAGTGTTAAGATGTGTTCTACTCCATTAGTCTTCACCTTGCACAGTCTCTATAGCTGTCACAGAGGATAAAGAAAAGAAAAGTTAATTTATAAAGTAAGTATTTTACCTTTTGATCCCCATCAGTTAAGATGTTACTTACTCTACATGTGTGTCACTTGATGACCACTGTGAAGAGAGTAAAATGTATAGTGGTTCTCTTGAGGCTCAAGCGTAAGGTAGAGTGCTGGTCGACCTTGTCTAACTTCATGTTCCCTTGAGGCTGACTTGCTGTCAGCTGAAGAGAGGTGTAATGCAATCAGTCTCCCGACCAGAAGTCCACTCTTTCATTTTCATAAACTTAATTCACCATCACCCGTAACTCCCCTTCTCCTTTTCTAACTCCAAGTGAAAAAAAATAATGAACACTTTTTTTCACTATCTCTTTTTATGTTTGTTAAATCCATACTGCTTAGCTGTTTGTAAATGAAGGTAACTTACTGAGGTGAAAGTGAACAAAAAATTCTCCAGGCTATGTAAAGGGCATTTGATAGAGGTTTTGATCAGCCTGGTTCATCTCATCCTTATATAGAAGAAGGCAAATGGCTACATAGTATGTTTATAGCAGGTATTTTTACCTCATTGTGAGGGTGGATTGAGTCACTCAAAATTTTTTTCATGTATTAAACTTGTAAATTTAAAACTCAGGCATCCGCGAGTTGATGACTATCACTTTTTTTGACAAACTTTCACTTTGGTGGTTTCTAGACCTTTTTTTTTTTTTTGGTCAGATACATGAGTGTGATAATACCTTTGTTTTGTTTGTTTTTTAACATGGGCAACCCACTTCCCTCAGCAATCTCACATGACCCACAGTGACTCTCGGTTGGCATTTTCCTCATTCAGAATCTCTGCTCTGCAAAATAATTTTATTTAATGCCACTTGTAAAACCTATAATCTATTATGAGTAACCAGTCAGTAACCATATTAAGTCAGTATTTCTCTTAATCTCAATTAATAGACTTAAAGTAAGGCTAGGCATGGTGGCTCACATCTGTAGTCTCAGCACGTTGGGAGGCTGAGACAGCAATATGGTTTAAGACCAGGATTTTGAGACCACCCTGGGCAACATAGTGAGACCGTATCTCTATATAATTATATTTTAAATAAATATTTAAAAAATAAATATTTATAAATAAATATTTTAAAAATAATGAATTAAGGAGTATTTATTTGTACTCCTTAAATATGTATACTTACATATTTAAGGATATATATATCCATATATGTAAGGAGTACTAATAAATACGTATATTTGTATATTTAAGGAGTACTAATAAATACGTATATTTATATATTTAAGGAGTACTAATATTAACACAATATAAAAAGTGTAAAAAGCTACATTGTCTCCCCTCAGCTAAAGAGTAGATATAACTATGTTTCTATTATTTGTAGATTGATAAATCTGTGTATCTTTCAAAAGTTCCTTTTTATTCATTCTATCCTGCCTTGGCTGGACATTTTAATGAAATCATAGGGCTCCAGTGTACATTTCTATTAGGATGGCAAAACACTGATTATTTTATATTCATCCCATGAATTTGATGATGCTTGAACTAGCCTGGCCACGTATAATCATTTCGTGGAGTAGATTTTCTGTGGCATATCATCTGGAATAGAGCTTCTATACTGAAAATTAAGCAATTTATAGAGCAATTGTAGGTATAGTGTTACCCAGGGATCTCTGCTTAAATAATTTCTTCTTCCTAATATTATTCTCTTTCCCATTTTCAGCTTGGAAAGAAAATGGCTCTTGTGTTTTAGTCTAGCACACTCTGCAGGCATCTGTGGTTTAATGGAGAAAGCTGAACTTAGAGTCTGAATATCTGGGATCTCATCTTTCCTCTTCTGTTTTATAACCCAGTAGTCTTCAGCAAGTGCCTAAATTTTTCTCATCTTCAGTTTTCTCAGTAGTAAAAGTTGGATTCCAAGACCTTCTTTCAAGGTTGTTGTAATGATTAAATGAGACCGTGCATGTGGAAATTCCTTTATCTAATGTAAGGGATTATAAAAATGCAAGGTAATACTGTTATTATAAAATAACTTGCTTCATGACTGGGTGCAATGGCTCATGCCTATAATCCTAGCACTTTGGGAGGCTGAGGCGGGAGGATCGTTTGAGCCGAAGAGTTCAAGACCAGCCTAGGCAACATAGCGAGACCCCATTTCTACCAAAAAGTATATATCTATCTCTATATCTATATATAGAGAAAGAGGTATGTCTATTTCTACCAAAAAGTATATATATATCTCTCTGTATCTATATATATATAGAGAGAGATAGAGATACATATAGAGATACTAAAAATTAGTAAATTCCTCGCTTCCCACAGCCTCTGTACTGAGCCAGTCAGAATAAGAGCTGCATGTCACTCTTTACATCTCACAGCCTCAGGAACAATCTATATATTTGACTGGCTCAGTACTGTATTAAATAAACACAGATTAATTGACTGGCCTGAGGATGAATAATAATCTGAGGTAGCTGTGAAATTACATAGTTCTTTACTTATACAGTTATTTCTTGTTCATTATTCCTTCATACATGTTAACCTTTTTTCCGCTAGAGAGCCCAGTCTGCTCTGTGTGTCTTTGAGCCTTTTTTGTATAAAAAGAACCTCAGTTTTTCCGAATGGAGAAAAAAACACGTTTATTTAAGAAGCATCAATAAAAATTACAAGTTGCATGAGAGCTGATATTAGTGGTAGTGTGCCTTACTGTGTTGGTGTTCTTTATATAATAATGCCTTGTATTATATTTGAATGCATGTTTACACAAGACAGTTAACTTTTCTGCTAGTCAGTAAATGGCACTGATATTTATTACGACGAAGCATGTAAATGTTTATCTTATAAGAGTAAATCAGTTGGCTGATACATTTTCTCTCAACTGTTTTTATTTTCCAGTGCTTTCTCTAAAATGGATAACATCTGGGGAATTTTCATGACATAATTGTAATAAAGCATCTACACAGTTAAATGGCTTTAACTGAAGCTAAGCACATTTCTCTTTCCCCTACTTCCCACCTTTTTAAAATTAAAGGCTTCCCAGTCTTTTTTATGTTGTATTTGTCACTTAAAGCATTTTGTATGGCAGCTGGATTCTGAAACTATGTTAAATTGTCTGTTTCTCCTGGAAACATTCCAACAGAGATCAGTTTCTTTTCTGGACCATCTACTTCAGTACTTTGCTCTTATATACTGTGTTGAATAGAATTGAACTGCTATTTATTGGATTTGTCAGCCTTAAATTCCAGTTACTATTTTTGCCTCTGTGGTATAGCTATGTAAAAGAATTAAACAGCTTAAGAACTATATTTCTAGTCTATTTGGGTAGTAATATACTCCTTCCTGTTCATTGTTCTTTCAGACATTTGCCAGAAAATTTCACAGGCATGTAATTGGTTTGTCCAAGCATAAACTAAAAAATTTCAAAGCTCCACCCTTTATAGTTAATACTAGATAATACAATTCATTTTATACACATATACACAAACATGTAATTTTCCTTGGACTTTTTGTAATTTTGGAAGCCTGTGTAAATTAGTCTACCAAATGATATTATTCTGCCAATAAACACAGGAGTTCAATAAAATTAATCATCAGAAACAGTTTAAATAGCTTGTAACCTCACTGGGGAGAAGCTTGAAATTATTCCGTGCTTTTGGGTTAACTTAACAAAAATTACTGTCTTTTTTCAACATATAACCTTTGAATAAGGGAGATAAATTACTAGGTTTGGTTTTGTTTTAGCTGATTTTGATAATACCACAAGTGGTACCTCTGTTTTCATCTTTTGTGTTAGAAAATTTAAAAATAATTAAGCTATAGAATTAATTTTATAGTGATAGTATAATGCCAGAAGAATCACCAAACATATCCTGTTCTGAGAAGCCTTAGTCTGATTATACTGCTTTTTTATTTTATTTTTTGTTTATGGGGTTTTTTGTTTTGTTTTGTTTTGAGATGGAATCTCACTCTTCACCCAGGCTGGAATGCAGTGGTGCAATCGTAACTCACTGCAACCTCGGTCTCCCGGATTCACGCGATTCTTCTGCCTCCCGAGTAGCTGGGATTACAGGTGTGTGGCGCCACACCCAGCTAATTTTTGTAATTTAGCAGAGATGGGGTTTCACCATGTTGGCCAGGCTGGTCTCAAACTCCTGACCTCGAATGATCTGCTGGCCTCAGCCTCCCAAAGTGTTGGGATAACAGGAGTGAGCCACCGCACCTGGCCTATTTATTGGTTTTTTTGGGCAGTTTTTTGCTTTGTATTATTAGAGCAAATGTGGAAACTTTCCTTAGTAGTTGACTGATCTGTACTTTTCTTTTTAGATAAATGTTCTTCACTTCGTTTTCAGAAACTACGATTTCTAAAATTAGGAAATACAGATATTTATATTACATAAAGTTAAATACTACCTCCGAAAAAGTGCCTGTTCTTTTTGAAGTGAGTGTCTTCAAGAGTGCAGGAAAGACAATGATATCATAAGGAAGATAGAAAGTGACACGCATTTAGTAGCACCTTGGGAACTTTCTTGGCCTTCCCTGTCTTTTCCCATTCTCATACATGTCTTCCTTAAAAACCTCAATGTATGGTAGTTGAGCAGCAGCATGAGTTAGAAATGTATTCTCAACAGATAATGTGCTTTTGAGTTAATTATCCAAACTGACCAAGTTATGCCTGGAAATGTGTCTGTAAGAGACATAAATGTGCCAATTGCACCGAATTATAGTATATTGGAGTTGAAATGGATCTCAGAAATACTTAAGTGGTAACCAGCCTAACATCCTAAATGTATTTATAAAAATATACAAGTTATTTTTAATATTCTTTTTTTTTTTTCTTTTGAGACGGAGTCTCACTTTGTCGCCCAGGCTGGAGTGCAGTGGCCGGATCTCAGCTCACTGCAAGCTCCGCCTCCCGGGTTCACGCCATTCTCCTGCCTCAGCCTCCCGAGTAGCTGGTACTACAGGCGCCCGCCACCTCGCCCGGCTAGTTTTTTGTATTTTTTAGTAGAGACGGGGTTTCACTGTGTTAGCCAGGATGGTCTCGATCTCCTGACCTCGTGATCCGCCCGTCTGGGTCTCCCAAAGTGCTGGGATTACAGGCTTGAGCCGCCGCGCCCGGCCTATTTTTAATATTCTTAAAAAGCCTATCTGTTGAATCAGTAGTGCCTATTGTGTAATTGATTGTCTTAGCTTATTTTATAAGGATTTTTGAGAAGAAGCTGAAGCCTTTTGCTATATGGAGCTCTTTCTTGAGTGAACCTGGTCTCCAGGGACCTTGCTCCTATATTGGCTTTTATAGTCCCGCTCCTTTATAGTTCTTCTCCAGCTTGCATTTTTCCTTTTGTCTCCTCTGAGGATTTTTCTTCCACTCTCCTTGTCCAAAATACTGTTGTTTTCAAGGTTTTATCTACCTTGTAATTACCTTTCTGTATTCCTTTCCTTAATGAGCTCATTTGTCAAGTAGCTACAACTATTAATCCACTATTCCATTTCGTAATCTCCCTGGAGCCCCCAGCCCCAATCCTCAGCCCTCCGTAGGTATTGAGCAGATGCTGGTTAGTGGGTGAGTGGCGGGAGAGTGAGTGAGTGAGTGAGTGAATGATGCCCCCTTGACTGTGCTCCAACCTCTTCTGACAAACCGTCTACAGAATGTCTTTACTTGGAGGTTTTACCTCAGAAGGTGCCTACTACCTCAGTGAGCCTTATCTGAGAGTTTCATACCTCTTCAACTTCCTTTTTTTTTGAGATGGAGCCTTGCTCTGTTACCCAGGCTGGAGTGCAGTGGTGCGATCTCAGTTCACTGCAACTTCTGCCTTTTGGGTTCAAGCGATTCTCTTGCCCCAGCCTCCCGAGTAGCTGGGATTACAGGCATGCACCACCATTCCCAGCTAATTTTTGTATTTTTAGTAGGGACAGGGTTTCACTATGTTGGCCAGGCTGGTCTCGAACTCCTGACCTCAGGTGATCCGCCCACCTCAGCCTCCCAAAGTGCCAGGATTACAGGCGTGAGCCACCGCACCCAGCCCTTACTTAAACTTTTACAACTCAATTTCTGTTAATAGTTCTATCTTATTTTCTAATCTTCTAGATTCTCCCCTCCTTCCCCCTTCCCAAAAAATGTAGTCATCTTTGACTTTTTCTCTTCTGTTGTGAATTTGGCTTTCTAAACTCAATTTTTTTTCTTTCAAAATTTCTCAGATTTAGCCCTTCTTTTCCATTTTTCTGTAACTGTCAATGGTTCAGGGTCTCATCACCTCACACCCAGGTTATTAGCATGTCTGCTGCTAACATTTCCTCCACCCCTCAATCATTTAGACATAATAGACCAATTTTCATAAAATGTTATGTTGCTTTTTCAAAGGCTGAAGCAAAAACATTGAGAATCTTTGAGATGAGTATTTCAGTAAATCTGATTGCATTAGGTTAGAAAAGAAGTGGGAAGATAAGAGAATCAATGTGAATAGAATGCGTGTTTGAAAAGTTTGGCAGATCGATTAGACCATTAACAGAAGACTTGAATTAGGTCTACTAGTTTCACTTTACAAAACGAAACACCTTACATCGTATTTGTTTTTAAAATAAAGCTGAATATATTAGAAGGATGAATTTTTTTGAAAAAAGCCCATGAACAGTTACAGGATAATAGTATAGTTGTGTAATTGAGATTTTAAAGGAGGCAAGAAAAGATGGAGTCCAAAGTGTAGGTAGAAGACTGAAATTCTTTTTTATTTTTTAGAAGAAACTTCTGTTAAGGATGAAAATGGAGATATAGAGGGAGTGAATTATTAAATAAAAACAAGTATACACGATGGTGCTTTACCAGATTATCTCATTCTTAATCTTTGTATCCTTTTCTTTTTCTTCAGCATGTTGACATAGCGGCATTATTGATAAAATACAACACGTGTGTAAATGCAACAGATAAGTGGGCATTTACTCCTCTCCATGAAGCAGCCCAGAAAGGAAGGACGCAGCTGTGCGCCCTCCTTCTAGCGCATGGTGCAGACCCCACCATGAAGAACCAGGAAGGCCAGACGCCTCTGGATCTGGCAACAGTAAGTCCTCATTTCAGATACTGAGTATTGTTCCTTGTACTTTCAGAGATGACATTAAATTCTCAGGCTCACCAGCTTACTTTTAGTCATGTTTATTTCACTTAGAACAGAGATCTCCTTCTGAAAATTTTTGAAGTTCACACTTTTTGTATGAAAATATAATTTAAAACTCTAAGGCAAACTAATCAGTAAGTTTGTGTAATTTTTTTTTGCCATTCTTAGCCTGCTAGGAAAACATGAATCATAAGAAAACACATTTTTAGAGTGTACCCTCAAATAATTACATTTAGTAAAATATCTCGTACCTTCTATATTTGGCATATTATTGTAGAGCAACTAATGTTCATGATGATTTCCTAAGTCTGTGAGACAGTCAAAGAAAAATTAACTCTGGGCAGTATTATTTAACTGCAAAGTCAAAGTTAAGCACCACATCCTCTTCCTTAACTTTCTGAAAATCAGGGAGTTACTGTATAGTCACAATAATTTCTAATTTTTTAAGCCAGAAATGTTTTTTCAAGTTATATTCTGTTTCATTTATTTATTGCTGAGTAACTGTTTCAAAACACTTAGTGGCTTAAAATAATAATGATTTATTATTTCTTATGATTCTGTATGTTGGCTAGGAGATTCTTCTGGTCTTACCTGGGGTCAACTTGTGTAACTGCATATAGCTGGTGGCTGGGGCAGAAACATAAAGACGGCTTTACTTATATGCCTGGGGCCTTGACAAATAAAGCTAGAAGGCTGGGGCCTCTCTAGTCCCACGTGGCATCTCATCATTAAGTAGTCTTGTTGGAATTTCTTCACCGAATAATTGCATCTCAAGAGGGAGAAAGCAGAGGCTGCCATTGTTCTTTAAGGCTAAGCCTGGAACTGACATGCTGTCACTTCCACCATATTCTGTTGTGCCAAGTGAGTCATGAACTCAGCTCAGGTTCAAGGGATAGGAAAACAGATTCCACCTTCTTTGAAAGGAGAAGCAAAGATTTCATGGCCATCTTTAATCAGCCACAGTCTTACCTGTGAATACAAATTAAATCTATTTTTCCCACATTAAAATTACACTCACCGGCCACACGCTCCCCCAACCAACAAGGGGCACAGATAGTCATCACTGGGTCCTTAGCAGTTCTGAAATTCAGCCAGGCACATGTTATCAGGGCCGTCTACTCTGGAGTTAGGGAATAGTGCCTGATTCGGGCCCAGTTCTGCTCCCAGGGAGTGGTTCACTGTGGCTGTCTTTTTTTTCCTTTCTTTTTTTTTCTTTCTCTTGAGAGACAGTCTGGCTCTGTCACCCAGGCCAGAGTGCAGTGGCATGATCATGGCTCACCACAACCTTGACCTCCCAGATTCAAGCCATCCCTCCACCTCAGTCTCCTAAGTAGCTAGGACTACAGGCACGTGCCACTATGCCTGGCTATTTTTTTTTTTTTTTTTTTTTTTGTAGAGACAGGGTCTTGCTATGTTGCCCAGGTTGGTCTTGAACTCCTGGGCTCCTCCCTTAGCCTCCTTCCTCAGGCTCCCAAAGTGCTGGGATTACAGGTGTGAGCCACTGTACCCAGCCTCTGTAGCTCTTGGCCATGCCCTCTGAATTACCCTTCTCTTTTTATAAGAGATGGATCGTATTTACAGCCAAATGGCTTTCTCAACCTTTTACCTGCTCCTAGAGATTTTGGGGACCCTAAGCCTTTTACTATTTTAATCTACCTGTCCCTTTTAGTCCAAAATAGTACAACTCTTCCTTTATAAACTTTTGGATTTCCCATCAAATTATGCACCACTCCATCAGCCAAAAGCCCCACCCACAAATCTTTTCAAGACAGGTCCCTCTGTAATATGGATTCCAAGTCAAGGTACAGTGGGGCAATGCCCATAAGACCCTTCAAAGCTCTTTCATCTAGCCAAGGGAATTCACAAGGTACCACCTTAGAGGTTTTTTAAAGATTTTGAGGTAATATATCTATACTTCTGGTGATTTTTATTCTGAGGCCATGTTTTCCTGTCAGCACCCTAGATTTGACCTTTGGCCTGAGGCTATGCCTTACTTGAAGAAACTTTTGCTGATGGAGAGGCTGGGAATGGTGAATAATTTTATTTTCCAACCTAGCAAATCTTGGGTGAATACATTTCCTTAAAGAGAACTAAACAGTTCCTTTCTCTCTTCCTGTACCTTATCATGGGCAGGTAAACATACCAGTCCAGCTGGCGAGGCAAAATTTGTTCTGGAAATTTCCTTAGCCAAATTTACAAGTTTATTTAGGTTCACGTTCTGCCTTCTATAAGACCTCATGTGCCAGTGTTGCCAAACTTTCTGCTACACAGCATCAGTCCCCTTTCTCTCGCCTTCAGTAGCACTTGCCTGTCTTCCACTCACAGCCTCCCTCAGCAATAACCAGGCCACCCTTCACACCTCCAACCAAAGCCACATGTCCACCAGCACCCCACTTCCTGGTACTGGTGTGCATTTCATTTCTCTATTGCTGCACACTAAGCCACCCCCAAACCCAGTGAGGGTTTAACATGACGATTTGTTATTTCTCACACTTCTGGGAGTTGACTGGGCTCAGCTGGGCAGTTCTGCTGGTTTTGTAGTTACCTGCACCTGGGAACTCAGCAGAGGCTGGAGCTTCCAAGATAGCCTTTCGTCCTGCAGGGCTCTCCCTGCATAGGATCTCACCCCTCAGTAGTCTAGCCCAAACTTCTGTACAGCATGGCAGATGGCTTCTAAGAGAGTAAAAGTAGACACTGCCAATCCACTTAAAGCCTGGCTCAGAAGCCTCAGAACATCACTTCTGCATTCTGTTGGGCAAGACAACTCACAGGGCAAAGCACATGCAGGGTGGGTGGAAATTGAAGGGGAGGCATGCATGACGGGAGGAAGGAATTGATGGCTGGCTGTCTCTGGAGACTATCTCCCGCACACTCGAAAAGCCCGCATACTCGAAAAGCAGTTGTATCTAATACTTAAAAACTGTAAAGTTTATGAATAAATGAGCTAGGAGTGTCATCCCTTTGAAATTTCACCAGATGCTAATTTTACATGACATTATTAAGTGTGAAGTAAATAACCAGATTATTATAGCTGTTTAAACATAAACAAAATAGAGTAAATATGGAAATTTTTCTAAAGAAGGGTGACAGTTAACACTGAAAGTGCTTTTTTTTTTAATGAAAGAAGAAATATTTTTAACAATTACATGGTTTCTCCAATTCTGTCTACTGAAACTACTGAAACTCTTTGGAGCTGTGGATAGGAGAAGGAATGATCAAAAACCAGAAGGGGATAGATAATGAGGCATTCATTAAGGAAAAAATCCACAAAGCATTTGGTTCTTAGTGAAAAACTTACCATTTCAATATACAGTCTTTTCACGTTTTTTTTTTTAATCATTTTTTTAGGCTGACGATATCAGAGCTTTGCTGATAGACGCCATGCCCCCAGAGGCCTTACCTACCTGTTTTAAACCTCAGGCTACTGTAGTGAGTGCCTCTCTGATCTCACCGGCATCCACCCCCTCCTGCCTCTCTGCTGCCAGCAGCATAGACAACCTCACTGGCCCTTTAGCAGAGTTGGCCGTAGGAGGAGCCTCCAACGCAGGGGACGGCGCCGCGGGAACAGAAAGGAAGGAAGGAGAAGGTGAGTAGACCCCGTGAATGCTTATTTATTGATACCTTTTGATAGTGGAGCAGAATTACTTTTTTCTATTGATAATTATTGAGCGCCTCCATTAGAGACGTCCTGTCTGTAAATTTTCAGACACACAACATCTTATAAGAAATATTTCTTCATAGAAGACTGCCACATTTCTTGGCATTGCCATTGTTCTTATTTCTGTATATTCTAGAGCATCTGTTTACAACCATAGCATCTTGTTGAACCACTTATACTGAAATTGTGTCAGAACACAACTGAGAGGTCATTTCAGGAATGAAAACTAAAATGATAGCTGATACATTTAGATTTTTTAATTCATTAAAAGCTTTAGATTTCTCTGTATAAGTAGCATTCGATAGTATAAATATTATACTATAATATTTTAAAATTAGTATTTTCTCTATATTTGTATAAATTACAATAAGTTATAATTCTATATTCTAACCATATTAGAATGATACAAATACTAATTTGATAAAGATAAAACACTCTGCTTTTATTTCTCAATCAACTTGAGAAATAAAGTGTCTGAATTAAATCTATGTATTCTATATTATTTTATGCCACGTAAAATCATCTGACAGCCAAGGTTGTCAGAGTCATGTCTTTAAATGGATACTGAAATTTTCTTTAGTGAATTCTTTCTGAGAATCTTGACTATGTTTCTGTTTTAGTTACCGGTCTTGACATGAATATCAGCCAATTTCTAAAAAGCCTTGGCCTTGAACACCTTCGGGATATCTTTGAAACAGAACAGGTAAACATCCTTTTATATATTTGAGTCATTTAAACTAAAAACTAAGAATTAGGCTGGATGCAGTGGCTCACACCTTAATCCCAACACTTTGGAATGCTTAGGCAGGATTGCTTGAGCCCAGGAGTTTGAGACCAGCCTGGGCAACAAAGTGAGACCCCCATCTCTACAAAAAAAAAACAAAAACAAAAACATGTTTTTAAGTTAGCTGAGCATGGTGACTTACTGGGCACCTGTAATCCTAGCTGCTGGGAGGCTGAAGCAGGAAGATCACACGAGCCCAGGAGTTTGAAACTGCAGTGAGCTGTGATTGTGCCACTGCATTTCAGCTTTGGCGACAAAGTAAAACCCTATCTCAAAAAAAAAAAAAAAAAAAAAAGAATTATTAATTGCCACCCACCTCTTTTCTCTTTTGCTTCTTATGAGCTATTTTTAAACCCACAACACATTTCTATAAGAAGCCAGAGGAGCCCAGTATTTTATACTTCTCCCCAAAATTGTCTAACAAATGAGAGTCTTTATTTTGTTTTATCTTTATAAGCAGCCTAGCACTTTGCATTTTATTACATGTCAAAACTTAGACCATGCAACTACCTCAAAAGAATGTTTTCATAATTGTCCTTGGTTGTTTTGTTTCCGAAAAGTGTCAGTCTTTATTCATCTCATTTCATTACTCATGTGACTAGGCTCCTGAAGCAGTTGCCCATTAATTTGGAAAGCACAGTAGTACTTAGACAAGTGCACCTTTTAAGAATCTCCCCTTTATGAAGTTTCTGTTGTCCACTTAGAATCTTAAATAATCTTGAACCAAAAGTTGGCCATACATTCCAATAGACCCACCCTATTTTGGGTTCCATCTTAAATGTCTGCAAGCGTCTAAGGATGGAGTCATCATTAGGGCATTTATGAATTTAGGATTATTCTGTTTGTTTTACTGTTTTCATATAGTATAAGGAGTTGTAATATTATATGCTTTTGTTATTATGGTCAACTTTAAATATTGAATGATGGTAAGTCCTGAATTTAAATGGACTACTGATATACATGAAATTTTAGAATAGGAAAGGTGTTTAGAGAAAATTAAGTTATTCTCCCAGGTGTAGGGATCACCCTTGTATAATAACACCCATGTTAGTCCTCCAGCCAGGGAAGATACCTTGTTACAATTTGGGACAGGTGTAATAGAATGCTTATAACTTAAAGTGTGCCAAAAACTGCCGGTAGGTATAATTCATTTGTTTTGGGCCAATGCTCACCCTGTTTTGCACAGAGATCTAATCTCCAGTCTACATATGTATTCAGTTTCACAGGACTATACTCCCTACAGAGGCTGTAGGGGAGAATCTATTCCATGCCTCTTCTTGCTTCTGATGGTTGGCAGCTTCTTTGGCTTGTGGCCACACTACTCCAGTCTCTGCTTCCATCGTCACATTTGCCTTCCTGTCCTCTGTATCTCTTCTAAGGACATTTGCATTGAATTTGAGGCCACCAGTATAATCCTGGGTGATGTCCTCATGTCTAGACCCTTAACATAATTTTGTCTGCAGACACTCTTCTTCCAAAGAAGGTGACATTCATAGGTTCTGGGGATGAGAACATAGACATATCATTTTGAGGGCCACCATTCAGCCCACTACAACATAATGTGGTCCTTTATATCTTCTTAAGACCTAGTCAGCTTAGCAGAGGTGTCAACCTTTCAACCACCCACCTCTACACATCTTCCCCTATATCAGAATAAATCTGTTTTTTCAATTATTCTTTATATGACATAATTTTCCAATATTTCACTGGCACCTTTGGCCCACTATGGTTCCCTTCTAGGCTTATAGTCAATTTGGAGTTAACTTAAAAATCAGGTCTTTTTTCTATTTTATATCAGTTATACTGTTAAGATTTTCTTCTGCTTTTTCTTTTTTTTTTTTTTTAGCTACATTTTTTCATTATAGTTCATCTTTAATGCTCTTAATAACAACAGTTGAGTAGGGATAGCATTGGACTAAAAGAAGACCTTAATTCTAATTACTTTTACCCTCTTACTAGCTGTGTAAAATTGGACTAAAAGACATTTATCCTATCACTTCCTTTACCGGTAAAACCTAATGCCTATAAATGTTCAGAGAGTTAAAATTCTCGGTAATATTGTGCTGCTGTGTCAGCTTTTAATACAGTGATGCATCACATGTGCCTTTGGTCTAATGGTTAGGACTTTATAGACTGCTGTCTATCAAATCGTTTTCTTTCCCAACCATTTATTCATCCCCTGGTTTGGAGCTTTCTTAGGAGAATATCCTAAACAGTAAGAATGCTTTATCCTTATTCCCTAACTGAAGGTGTGCAAGCTGTTTTAAAACCATTATACTCTGCAGTTTCCATATTACAGCTACAGCTGTTCTTCCCAAATCATTTCCACAATAATTGTAAAATTTCAAACACATCTTTGCTAAATAAACCAAAGACCTTAACTCAAACAAATAATTCCAATTTACTGATGAAAGTTTTCTAAAGAATGTTAATCTTCTTCTTTTAGTCAGTTTGCATTATAATTTTACATGTTATTTCTTTTTTACTTTGTATTGTATATTCTCATTGTCAGTAACTGACTTCCTGTGGCATATTTATCACATTTTATTGATTTGAATAGTTTAATAGCTTAGTCTCATAGTCATTCCTTCTAACAGCTTATTCTGGTTTCATCCGTTTCATTGTTCTTTTTTTACTGCAGTTTTGTTCTGAGTAAATGGTTCCATTGATTTTCTTTTAGCCAGAATAATTTCTATAGCCTTCACATAGACAGTTGCATTTAATGTGTATTACCAAGCACAGTTCTTTTCCTCCAGACAAGTGATACTACCTTCTTTGTTTCTGACTGTGTCTGGCTCAATCATCAAGCAATCACATGTATTTTTATTTTAATTGCAAATGTTATTTATCTAGCCTTCCATTATAAATAAATGTGATAACCTTTTCCATAACTTTAACCATTAGCATTTTCTCCCATTAACATTCTATATCAGTAATATGTGATGATGGCGCACATACTTGTATAGTGGGGGAGGAGTGAGGGTGCATGCGTTGTACTCATTTAATTCATATCTGTTTGGCTTAAGCCAGGGGAGCCGTTGTTTTCTGATGTGGTTTGACATGCTCATATGTCTCATTGCCTGTGTACCTACTCATGGATGCCAGTGGGGTGTGGAATGTAGGTATTTTATTTCTGGTCCCAGAAAAAAACCTTCTGCACATCATAGCCTCACCTCCTATCTTCACAGTTACTCTCTCGGAAGTCTCTAAACTAAATTGTCTTGTTTCCCATAGACACTTTGCCAAGTTCTATGTTAAATAATATATACCTGTATCCTTTCTAGTTAATTATAGTACCCATGTGACTTTGGCCCTTCCTTTGTAACATAGCTTTCTACCTATCAACATAGGTAGAACACTTTTTCTATGGGAAAGACAGATTTTATTTACACTGCAATTCCTGGAACGTAAATGCTATCACTTGGAAGACTGCTTGTGGACATCTATATGGTTAACCTGTGTATTTTCATGGAAAGTGACCAGATAAATTTTGATTTCAAATTCTTGAAGATAAAAGCATGGCCTCCAGTAATTCATTGTAATTTGATTATAAAGTTAGTACTTATTACTACTACTGTACCATACAACCTTTTAAGCCCAAGCAAGAGAAAGGTCTTTTTCATTAAAACTAATTTTCTCTCCCCACCCAAAGTAAAATGACTCTTAGAAGCTAGAGGTAGCTCTTTTGGCAGTGACCTTTGCTTTATGTGCAAGGTGACTTTAACTGACACGTGGATAGTCTTTATTCTTCATATTATAATTTTATTTTAATGTAGACTAGATAGAAATAACTAGCCCAACAAGCTTGTGATTTCCTCGGTATAATAACTAAGTCAAGGTTTTAAAAAAGGAGCAAGTTAATTTAAATATGATTTTCAGAAAAAAATGTCTAACAGCTGATAGGAATATATGTAAAATCCCTGAGTCTTGAAGCAACATGTCTAAAATCCAACTAACCTGCTTTCCATCCAGATATTTCTATTTCTTTTTTTGATACAATAGTCTCGTAGTTACCCAGCTGCAGAATTTTGGAATAATCTTTAATTACTTTCATTCTTTTATTTTAACCATTTCTATTTACCAGGCCCTGTAAATAGAGTTCTCCAGTTGCTTTCAGATTCATCCCTTCCATGCCATTTTATCTTCATCTGGTTCCCAGTTGCTTTCCCTTCCAAATCTGCCCTTCATAATGCCAACAGTCTCATCCTCCTAAAATACGACATTGATTATATTACTCTGCTGAGAAGACTTCCCAGGGCCTTTGGTATACTTTTTTTTTTTTTTTTTTTTTTTTTTTTTTTTTTTTTGAGACGGAGTCTTTTTTTTTTTGAGACGGAGCCTTGCTCTGTCTCCCAGGCTGGAGTGCAGTGGCCCGATCTCGGCTCACTGCAACCTCTGCCTCACTGCAACCTCTGCCTCCCAGGTTCACGCGATTCTCTTGCCTCAGCCTCCTGAGTAGCTGGGATTACAGGCGCACACCACCATGCCCGGCTAATTTTTGTATTTTTAGTAGAGATGGGGTTTCACCATGTTTGTCAGGCTGGTCTCGAACTCCTGACCTCGTGATCTGCCCACCTCGGCCTCCCAAAGTGCTGGGATTACAGGCATGAGCCACCACACCTGGCCAGCCTTTGGTATACTTCTAAACCCCTTAATTTGATAGATAAGGCCCTTTAAGATCCTCTCTGTGCCTGCTGCTCTGCCATTCCCTCCTTTTAATCCTTGATACATATTCTCCTGTCACCATTTTGAACTACAGTACTTAAGTTCCCTCAAATACTCTGTATTCTTTTAACTGATTTTCCCTTTGCACATGCTATTCCCTCTGTCTTAAGCACACTTTCTTCCTCCCCCTGCCTGATGAACTCCTGCTGCTTAGCTGAATTACGACCTTCTTCTGAGAACCTTTCCTCATCTCCTTCCTGCTCCTTCCTTCTCAGCCCTCCTTGCAGCCCTGACCAAGCAGGTCACCTTCACGAGAGTTCTCATAGGGATTCTCTAAGACATTGACCCATTTTGTGTGTGTTTGTTATCTTGAGTAAATAACATGAACTCTGGTTGGCACTCTATTTCATGGCCCCACTCTTTTACTATCAGTTATTTGGACCAACCATGTAACTTTCCAACTATAATTGGTCGTTTTAGAATTAAATGAAATGTTTACTTTTTAAAGAAATATATAGCGTAAAGAAGGTACTCATTAAACATTTTTTGTGTGAATGAGCTGACATAGATCTAAATTCCTTAGCTTTTCATTTAAGGTTTTTCAGTGGCCACTGCCTGATAAATATGCAGACAAATTGGACACCATGTAACTCAGTGCAACTAAATTTAATGTTTAATCATTTTCGCCTTCTAGTCATCCTTTTAAAGAATAGAAACAGGGAAAAGACAGATACAGCTATACTCTCAGCTCTTCTGTGTACTGTTTTCATGACTTCTCTCAGTACCAGTGACCTCATAATACATTAATAGTACTTCATTATCCATCATCGTAAGGATTAAATGAGGTAATGTAAATAAAGTGCTTTGAACTGTGCTTGATATATAGCGAGTACACAACAAATATTGAGTGGATGGTGGTTGGATGATGAATGGTTGGATGGAATTGCAGTAATAATGTATATTTATATTCAGTTGCAAGTATAGAAAGTTGTCCCATTCCCTTTTTGTTTTTCAGATTCCACAGGTTAATAGCTTTTCATCTCTTCTATCCTTCAGGATAGCCTCATAAACACTGTCTTTTTTTTTCTTTAGTTACGTATTTTCATATTCATTCCTTTTGTGTGACTGTAAGTATCTAATTGGATAAATGCCAAGATAGCATGGGTAGATCACCTGTCTACTGCTGTGTAACAAATTACCCAAAACTTAATGGCTTAAAATAAGAAACATGTATTATCCCACAGTTTCTATAGGTCAAGAATCTAAGCATGGCTTAGTTGGGTGCCTCTGGCTCAAAGTCTGTCCCGAAGCTGCAGTAAACTGTCCGACAGGTCTGCAGTCTCACCTGGGGACTCACCTGGCAAGGGTGGGGACCCGCTTTCAAGCTCGCTCACAGTGTTGGTTGACTGGCCTCGATTCCTCACCTTTCGGCCTCTCCACAGAGTGACCTTATGGAGTATTACTTACCTGTTGCTGCTTGATAAATTACCGTAAACTCAGCAGCTCGAAACAGCACACATTTTGAGAGTCAGGACTTTATGCACAGCTTAGTTGTGTCCTTGGCTTCATGATCTCTCACAAGGCTACGGAGCATTAGCCAGGGCCAGTATCTCCTCTAAAGACTCCACTGGAGAAGGATTCCCTTCCACACTCTCACATGATTACTGGCAGGATTCAGTCCCTTGCAGTCTGTTGGACTGAAGCCCTCAGTTCCTGCCATGTGGGCCTCTATAACCTGGTTTCTTGCACTATCAAAGCCAGCAAGAGAAAAAGGATCTGCTAGTCACCTCTCATCACCATTGCTGTATTTGCTTGGTAGGAAGCAAGTCACTAGGCAAGCCTGCACTCCAGGGGAGGGGAGCACACAGGATGTGGTGTAAGAAGGCGGGAATCATTGAGTGTCTGCCATAGCATGGCAGCCAGGTCTTCTAGGGTGAGCAGTCCAAAGAGTGAGCGCCCAAGATGGAAGCCACAATCTATTACCTAATGTAAAAAGTAATTTCCCATCACTTCTGCTGTATTATATGTGTTAGAAGTGAGTTGGTAAGTCTGTCTCACACAGGGAAGGGATTACAGGGAAGATACAAATGCCAGGAGGTGGGAGACCACTTGCCACATCAGGTGTGAGACAGCCTTGCCTTCTAAACTAAGTGATTTGCTGTCAGTCTCTTCAGGTTGTTTTGTTGGTTTGGTTTGGGTTTTTTGTATTCATTTTATGAATGGAGCTATAAAATGAATAAATACATTAAATATTCTCCATTATTCCTCTAGAACATTGTAGAGAATATTGTGTTTTGCTGGCCTGGTGTCTGCTTCCTCCAGATACGCACTATATGTATCAATTCAGAAAAGTCTGAGGATTCTCTGAACTGAAGTTACCACATAGATATGAGACCCTTGGTTTTAAACTGAAGTTAGTTTCGAATATTTAGAAGAAAAAAATGGGACATCAATAACATAGTTTCCAAATTATATTAAAATCATGTCTAGCTAAGAATGTAAAGGCTCCTATTATTTTGTAAACTATTCCATCTCAAAGATGTGTATTTCAGAACTGAGTTTTTTGGTTTTGTTTTGTTTTGTTTTAAAGCTCTGCTGAAACCTTTCTTTTGGGTGATTGGAAGTAAATTGCCTGCTTTGTGCAATGCAGCAAATTATTGCTTAAATGGCCACTTAGAAGCAATATAGAACATTATTTCCAAAGAATGAGTGATGTATGCTCATTTCACTGGAAAGATCAAACTCATATTTTATTCTGACAAAAAAATCAGCAGAGGTCCATGCCTAATTTGTCAGTTTTTAAAATGTTACTTGAACGTTAAAAGTGGAAAAAAGCGATCTTGTTTGAGTTGGAAAAGGAGTGTCTGTAAAAGAATTTCTTGGTTTTCCAAGGAAGGGGAAAATCAAAGACTAATCTCGTAGACTGGTATTTGGATTGTCACAAGGCCAACTTCGTCAAGACTGGAAAGTTGCACGTTCAGACTTCAAGAAATGTGGCTACCCGAGTTCATCCTGTGTGTTCAGAACATAGCCACTGGGTGGTAGTAGAGTCCCAGCTACTTTAGTCCATAAGGGAATTAGGTGATTTTGAGCCAACTAATCATCTCCATTTTACAGGGATAAATAACCGAAAGTTAAAAACTAACCGAAAATTAAAAACCACTGTGTTGTATAAAAACAGAATGTATTTTAAGCAGAAGGGATTAAGTCTGAAAATTTATGAGAGAGCTTAAAAACCGTCTACTCTTTCCTTATCCAAATTGGAATTTTAAAATGTAGCCTCTCTTTAAAACAGTTTGTAATCTAACTAAATACTTGAGATGTCAATCTCACTGCTTTTTAAGGCAGTCTGTCCCAGGCTGGAGTATTTCTTAGCACTGAGAAGTTCTTTCTTATCTATTGTCTAAAAACTGCTTTCTCCTTTTCCTGAGCTCTGTTTACTTGCGCCGAATGCCTCTCCCTTTCCCCCGCCGTTCATTTCTACTCCCTGCTGGATACTGGGATCTGGTGTTTCCCATTTTCAAGCTACTGATTCCTCCTCTATCTGGAGGCAAGCAGTAGATGATAGAACAAAATCATCTAAAGGAAATATAGCGATGATCTTTTTGTATTTCTATAGTATTGTTTCTCCCTTTTTAATTCTCGTGGACAAAAAGCAAATCAAGGAGTACTTCAAGTAAGCAAAAAAGCTGATGAGACTATCAAGACAACTTTAAAAAGATTGTAAGCTCATGTTTGTAAAGGAAACAAAATAATTTTATTAATTTGCATGGTACTCATAGCATTGTAGACAATTGGAAAAGCTTTTGTCCTCTGAAGAACTGTTAAAGATTTCACAAGTAATTTTGTTTCATTTTTCAGATTACCCTAGATGTGTTGGCTGATATGGGTCATGAAGAGTTGAAGGAAATAGGCATCAATGCGTATGGGCACCGCCACAAATTAATCAAAGGAGTAGAAAGACTTTTAGGTGGACAACAAGGTAAGCTATTCAGAAAAAGAATTTCAGAAATCAGTGGTACAAGGTAAGTGTTGGGGCTGACAGTTGAACTCAGGCTGTCTGACCCTAGAACCATACACTGAACTATTGTACCTCCTGTCCCTTCCCCATCTCAGTTATTGGCCTCGTGCTCCTTCTAGCTGGAAAAATCTGAGTCAGTCTTCCCTCTCTCCCAACACTTTGTATCCTCAGTTTCTCTGGAATCTCTGTACTTCTGTCCTTTCCCATGACTGTCACTTGATCCAAGCCACCATTCTGTCTCCTGGACTATCCTAACCACTTGGTTTATCTCCAACCTTTACATTTGCTTCCTTCCAGTACCTTCTCTACAATGTGAACACAATTTTTTCAAAATGATTATATGATCATATCACTCCCTTGCTTAAATCCCTTTAATAGAATCCTGTTGCCTTTAGGATAGAATCGAACATTCCTAATATGGCTTTTCACAATCTAACCTTTCTTAACTTGAACCATCCTCCCCCCAACATGACTGTCATCTTTGTCTTTTTCCATTCTACTTTGCTGTTACAAGCCTTTTTACCCTCTGTTTTTATTCATTTCTCTATTTGTTAGAGGCACTTTCACCATAGGAAAGCAAGGAAAGAGAATCCACAGACCTAATCAGATTACAAGAATGATGTGAAATTCAAACTGGAAGATTTTGTGCTTGAGTCTTGCTTATTTATCTGTTTTAGTTCATCCATGAAACAAAGATAATGTATTTTAAAGCAATTGTAAGTGGCTATTTCAAGCCATCTTAGAAGAGTTTTTAGAGGATAATTTTATATTTTAGATCTGACTATATTGTGATGTCAGTGCATGTTTTTCTTTTGTGTCAGATATAGCTTCATGTATGTTCATGATAGAGTTTAATTCAACAAATATTTGTTGAACTCTGCAGTGTGTACAGGAAGCTCTATAACAATAGATAAAATTGGGCCAGGCACGGTGGCTCACGCTTGTAATCCCAGCAGTTTGGGAGACCGAGGCGGGCAGATCATGAGGTCAGGCGATTGAGACCATCGTCTCTACTAAACAAAATACAAAAAATTAGCCAGGTGTGGCAGCGGGTGCCTGTAGTCCCCGCTACTAGGGAGGCTAAGGCAGGAGAATGGCGTGAACCTGGGAGGTGGAGCTTGCAGTGAGCCGAGATCAGGCCACTGCACTCCAGCCTGGGCGACAGAGTGAGACTCCATCTCAAAAAAAAAAAAAAAAAGAACAGATAAAATTGATCCTCAAACATTTTCATTTTTTTTTCTCCTGTCCTTGAGTATATTTGTTTAAAGTAACCAAATTTATCAGGTTCAAATTGCAAATAGTTTAGGTTTGTTCCAAGATGTCAGTTATTTATTATGAAGCTTTTTTTCTAAAATAGAGCCTGAGTAGTGCAGACTTTTGTTTTATACGTTAATTTTTCTCTCCTACAGGCACCAATCCTTATTTGACTTTTCACTGTGTTAATCAGGGGACGATTTTGCTGGATCTTGCTCCAGAAGATAAAGAATATCAGTCAGTGGAAGAAGAGGTAATATACATCAGAAATCTTTCATTTGCTTTTCTTGAAATCTGTGGAGAAACCTGTTTTTCTGGAAGAAACCTCGTCTTACATTGCCTTGTGGTCACGTGCCTATTAATCAGTCTCTCTCAGCCATTGTGGTAGAATGTTGCCAAAATTAAAATATGACAGCGCCACATGGTTTTCACATCAAAGCCTGTCTTTTTATTCTGGAGATTTTCTTGAAATTCATGCAAAATAAGGAGCCTATTAGAACTATTTTCTTGTATTGTTATAGTGCCACCTAAGAATGACATAGAATGAAAACTCTTGCCTCATAGAGAGCAAATATGTTCTCATCCTTGTTTTTATGCAGTTATAAATGTGACTGTAAAATATGCGTAATCATCACGTGTGCTTCTGGGTCTGCCTCATTATTGTGCATAACATTTCATTTCTCCAGTCACATTTTTTCTGAGCCCCTATGAAGGCTGTTTGTGTGACCCTCTTGGTGGTCAGATGCCAGTGAGACTCCCACTCCACTGACGGTTTATGCATAAACAAACAGCCTAATACCACTGTTCTAAATAAAATTCGTGTTTGTTTTTTTTAATTAGTACTCATTTTATTTTCATTCCCAGGCTAGGAACTTGCATTAGGTAACTCAAAACCATGACCCCAGAGCTGTATTTCAGCTCATATTTAGTGCATCAGGAAGGCATCATGGGGTCCAGTGTCTTACTACCTAATTATTCTCTTAGCAGTTAGTACATTTTGATAATAATGTCAAAAATGTAGTGACTCTACGCAAGTGGAGCAGTAAGGAAGAGAATTCATTCTATTGAGTTAATTCTCTGAGAAATTTAGATCTTTAAAACATTTTTCTTTTCCATAATTATTTTTAATTTAGAGAGTAGTCAGAAGAAAGTTATTCCCTTTAGTAGTACCTTATAGGCAAATTCCCCTGGTCTGTGTAAATATACTTAGAGATCGATCCCAAGCTGAAGACTGTTGAGATAATATGGAATATTTCACCTACAGAACAAATATTTATTTTTTTTAAATTGTTTATTTTTAGCATTTGTTAATTGAACGTAAATTGAACGTAAGGAGTTTTTGTTTGACTTAATCAGTGTTAGTTCTTCTTCTCAATAAGATAGTAATTGTAGATGACTTAATGTGATTTTTTATGTTTCCCCATCGTGTTTACAGAAAACTTTCAGAACTTTTATTTAAAAGTAAACAGAAAGTGCATAAATTTAATATTTATGTTTGAAATTATTTTCTCACCAGAAATACTTATCCACTAAACTTATTCATCAATTTGTAGTGAACTCCTTTTATTAATACCAAATTTTAGACTCATCAATGAAACAATAAAATTGGAAGAAATGTCTAGAATCATACACTGGGATGTTTTTATAAAATTAGTTATTTTGTTCTATAGATGCAAAGTACAATTCGAGAACACAGAGATGGTGGTAATGCTGGCGGCATCTTCAACAGATACAATGTCATTCGAGTAAGTTTTTGAAGTTTCATGGTGAAAACTGGATTGCAAGGCTTACCGAAAAATCAAATCTAGACAATGAAAAAAGTTCATTAAGTCATATTTTCAAACTGTGAAAAGATAATTCATCACCTCTTGCCCTGAAGTCAGATACCACTCTTCTCACTACAATATCTCTAACTCCCCAAGACAATACGTCACTAAAAATAGAGACATTCTGAAAACACCAAAGCTACAAACAGGAGGCTAAATCAGCCTGTGCTAGTGATACGTGCATGGATATTTGTCTTCCTGCTTATCCACAAATACAGGCCATAGTTAACAATAATGTTTTTTATCGTTTGAAAGTTGCATCGAAGTCCTGGATCTTCAGTCTTATTGAACCAGTAATTACCCCAGAATACATATATCTCTTAATCTCAGTATCTTAATTTTTAATATGGAACAGATGACTCAAGCTTTTTACAAAGTGGTATCATGAAGATGCATAAAATCTGTAGAGAACTGGTTTAACCCTTTGAGTTAACAGACCTGTGAAAGTTACACTGGTACACATCAGAGTAACCCAGGGAACTTGTTTAAAAAAAAATACAGGGCCGGGCGCGGTGGCTCAAGCCTGTAATCCCAGCACTTTGGGAGGCCGAGACGGGCGGATCACGAGGTCAGGAGATCGAGACCATCCTGGCTAACCCGGTGAAACCCCGTCTCTACTAAAAAAATACAAAAAACTAGCCGGGCGAGGTGGCGGGCGCCTGTAGTCCCAGCTCCTCGGGAGGCTGAGGCAGGAGAATGGCGTGAACACGGGAGGCGGAGCTTGCAGTGAGCAGAGATCCGGCCACTGCACTCCAGCCTGGGCGACAGAGCGAGACTCCGTCTCAAAAAAAAAATAAAAAAAAAATAAAAAAATAAAAAAAAATAAAAAAAATACAGATTTATATGTCCCCATCTCCTAAACTTTATTAAGTCTGGGGAGGAGCCTAAATATAACCTTTTTACCTTTCTTTTTTTTTTTTTAATCCTGATTTAGAGGTAACAGCCAGGTCTGGTATAAAATAACAAAAACTGTAACTGAAAATTATGTCACTAACAGCTAGAGTATTTTCTGAATTACACTCACCGGTAGCTTTATCACTTTTACATTTAAGCAAAATAAAAATGGACCTTTCTAAAAGGGAAACAGATTTTTCATTTTAAATCATAAATGCACATTTCACTGATAACGTTTCTTTCTTCTTCATCCTTAAAGATTCAAAAAGTTGTCAACAAGAAGTTGAGGGAGCGGTTCTGCCACCGACAGAAGGAAGTGTCTGAGGAGAATCACAACCATCACAATGAGCGCATGTTGTTTCACGGTGAGCAACATGGCCGTGATGGTGGCCGTCTCCCTGGGCCTTTGCAGGAGCCAGTAAAATGAAAAACCTATGTTAAATTGACTATAATAGGGTTGTATTAAAAATGGCTTGTTTTGATTATTTTGTTCAAATAATTACTTCTTGGTACCAGCTTTCTAATGTATCACACATTAGTACAGACTTTCCAGTGCATGTACAATGAAAATAATTGAGCTAAAAGTATGTTAGAACTTAAATTGCAAATTGAGCCACCTAGTGAATTATTTTTGTTGTAATTTAGTACTAGTACCTTATTATGTATAATAGGGCTCCTTAGGAAATACTTTTCATTTATACACTATTCATTTCTTAATATTAACCTGCCCAGTGCAAATAGTTTGCAGGTAATTGAGCTTCTAGAAAAGTGTTCAAAAATGAGTCTTTCTATCTTCGTATTTCTAGGTTCTCCTTTCATTAATGCCATTATTCATAAAGGGTTTGATGAGCGACATGCATACATAGGAGGAATGTTTGGAGCTGGGATTTATTTTGCTGAAAACTCCTCAAAAAGCAACCAATATGTTTATGGAATTGGAGGAGGAACAGGCTGCCCTACACACAAAGACAGGTCGTGCTATATATGTCACAGGTAAGCACCTTGCTATTAGTGTAACGTTTGCCACCCCAGGTCATGAACCACATTGGGTTTTTTGTTTGTTTGTTATGAGATGGAGTCTTGCTCTTGTGGCCCAGGCTAGAGTGCGAAGGCACGATCTCGGGTCACTGCAACCTCCGCCCCTCGGGTTCAAGCGATTCTCCTGCCTTAGCCTCCCCAGAACTGTAATCCCAGCACTTTGGGAGGCCGAGGCAGGCGAATCACAAGGTCAGGAGATCAAGACCACCCTGGCTAACACGGTGAAACCCCAGCTCTACTAAAAATACAAAAAAAAAAATTGGCCGAGCGTGGTGGCAGGTGCCTGTAATCCCAGCCACTGGGGAGGCTGAGGCAGGAGAATGGCGTGAACCCAGGAGGCAGAAGTTACCGTGAGCTGAGATTGCGCCACTGCACTCCAGCCTGGGGGACAGAGTGAGACTCCGTCTCAAAAGAAAAAGGAATACAGAGAAATTTTCAAGTATATATATAGCATGTAAAAGTTTTTTTTTTTTAATGCTTCAAACTTAATTCCTCTGGAGACAAAAAGGAACCTAAATAAGCAATAAAAGTGAACCTCAGTGAAGATTTAACAATCACTTATTAAAATTAGACACACAAGTTTAAGTCTTAGCCAGGATTTCTAGAAAACAGACCCTAAAGCAAAAGCATGTGACTAGTATTTGATTGGCCAGTGCAGCCCCAGGGAAGCAGGAATGAGGGCCCTAAAAGAATTGAGGTGGAGAAGACAGCAGAGCAACCGCAGTGAGGTGCGTTAATGAGTTGGCCACAGCCTCATAGCGAGGGCAGTCAATTGCTCAGTCCATGAAGCATCTCCAGAGAGGCTGTATAAACTACGGCATCTCACAACAGTAGTATATCAGTGAGAGAAAGAGATGAATTTGTCTGCTGGCTCCTGTCTTGCATTTGCCAAAATTTGCCCAAAATTTGCCCCCAGGGCTAATTGGCACCCCTACCATTTAGGCTGCTGCATCTGCAGAATGCACCACAATGCACCAGGCAAGCCAGTGAGCAGACTTGAGCCAGCTCTCTACTTGCCCATCTGCAGCTGCAGCTCACGGCTGGCTGAGCAGGTCTCACACCACCTCCTGCCTCAGCAGAACAGCGGATCCCTGGGCAGAAGCAGAAGCCTGTCAGGTTCAGCTTTGTGTGACATAACAGACTAGGAGCACACAGAATCTAATGACAACATACCACTGCCACAAATGTAGAGATGGCGCACAACAAGCCTCCTTCTGATAGAGAGCAAAGCCCTTTCCTCTGGGACCTGCAGGAGAATATAGTAGACCAAGCCGGCATCCCAGAGGATCATCACTAGCATCCAACTCAAAAAACCAGTCTGGGTAAGACCCAGTTATCCTGGATCCTGCACAAATTTTAGCTGACTCAAAATAAAATCTCTGGTTATAACACAAAGATTATATTCCATTACTAAAAACAATCTGATTGCATTATAACTGTTTACATTTAACGGTGTTATCAATTGTACTAATTTGTAAAAATATTTATTGCTTATATTAGAGATTAGCAGACATTTCTTTAAGGGATATATAATAATCATTTCGGTTTTGCAGGTCATACAATCCTTGTCACAGTAACTCAATTCTGCCCTTGTCGTGCAAAAGCAGCCATGGGCTATATGTAAATGCATGTGTGGCTGTGTTCCAGTAACACGGTATTTACAGAAACAGGTGGCAGGCTGGCTTGACCCATGGGCTATAGTTTCCTAACCCCTAGTGTATATAATAGACTTTCTTCCCAGTCAGCCTTTCTTACCCTGTAATACTTAATATCTGCTCTAATTCATGTTCCGCCCAGACTAATGTGATTTTCAGCCATACATTTAAGCTAAGTACTTTTGTTCATGATCCACTTTTATTATTACTATTTATCTCATCCCAGTTTCTACTTTTTTCCATGTAGTGAATAAACCCAATCTTAATTTCAGGTGTTGTTTCCATCAGCTTATTTTCTTCACTGTCCTCCTCCCCATCCATGCAAGAGCTCAGGTTTTTTCTGTTTTTCTTCCGTTTTTCCACCAGGCAAAACTTACTGGCAGGCATTTTCTAAGGCCGATTCCTAAGCCATAGCAAAACTACCTTAAACTTTTCAGTGTAACTGTTGAGTCTGGTAACTGTTTATAGTAAATCATTATATCAAATTCCATTCCTACTCATACATCTGAAAATGACATTTAAATTAGCTTGCCTTAATGTTACATTTTTAAAACATTCGTAGACCTAGCAGTTATATTATTGTAAGATTTAAAGCTTCCTTCAAAGCATTGTTTTTTTTTCTTCTTCCTTAGACAAATGCTCTTCTGTAGAGTGACCCTTGGGAAATCCTTTCTGCAGTTTAGCACCATGAAAATGGCCCACGCGCCTCCAGGGCACCACTCAGTCATTGGTCGACCGAGCGTCAATGGGCTGGCATATGCTGAATATGTCATCTACAGAGGAGAACAGGTACGTTACTCATCAAGCAAGCATAACCACGTTCACAAACATGTCAACAGAGCACAGAGACCGTGTAAGACTTGAGAAAATCTTTCCATGAAATATCCACCACACAGTGTGCTAGTATTAATTACTTCAGATACAAAATAAAGGTATCAAAATAATTCTTTGACATCAGCTTTTTACATAAAACCCATTAGTAGCTGTCAGCCACATAACACAGTGTGAACAAGAGGGCAGCGGAGAAACAAAGGCTTGGGCCCTCGTGCTGTTGGGAGGCCTGCGGCTGGGAACGGATGCCTTGTGCCACTTCCTGCACAGCACGCCAGGGCAGCTGCCATCAGTGGGTCTGCGTGAGTGTACGTGCCACAGGATTTGTCCAAAACCAAAAGCAGTTTGTCGGAATGTAACTGAATTTCAAATGAATACCGTAACTACACTAAAAGAAAACATACAGAAGGAAATAACTAAATATATGTAACCTATGAAAACAGTATTTTACACTGTGCCTTCAGTCATGGGCAGGGTAGGGAATGCTGTTGGGGGAAGACTGACAAAGGAATCCTGAACTCCTTTTAGTAAATCTGTTGATGGTGATACTGTGGGCAAAACAGTGAAACTCTTAGGTATATTATAGGATTGAGCACATGAGTGGATGTGTTGATGTATTGATTTGAGGAGCCAAAGTTCTCACGGTAGAAGAAGGGACATACAAATATGGAATGGAGAAGGTAAGAAAGACTCAAGGGATGAACTGAAATTAGAAATATTACTATGATCTCATGATTTCTAACGTGTATGTGTGTGTGTATACACCCATGTAAATTTATGGGTAAGTATCAGTATAAACGTGTATGTATATGAGAGAGAGAGAGAAACCAAGGAAGGGAGGGAAGAAGAGAGAGACAGGCAGGAAGGAAAGAAGGAAGGGAGGGAGAGAAGAGAGAGGAAGGAAGGAAGGGAGAGAGAGAGGAAGGGAGGGAGGGAGAGAGCAAGGAAGAAAAAGTGGAAGGAAAGGAGGGAGAGAGAAGAAGGAAGGGAGGGAGGGAGAGAGGAAGGAGGGAGAGAAAGAAAAAAGGAAATGAGAGAGGAAGGAAGGGAGGGAGGGAAAGGGAGAGAGAAAAAGACTAAGGAAGGGAGAGAGAGAGATGAAGGGAGGGAGGGAGAGGAAGGAGAGGAGGAAAAAGTGAGAGGAAGGAAGGGAGAGAGGAAGGAAGGGAGAGAGGGAGGGAAAGAGGGATGAAGGGATGGAGAGAGGAAGGAAGGGAGAAAGTGAGAAAGAGGAAGGAAGGGAGAAAGCAAGAGAGGAAGGAACAGAAGGAGCAAGAGAAGAAAGGAGGGAGAAAGGGAGGAAGGAAAGAAGGGAGAGAGGAAAGAAAGGAGGGAGGGGGAGAGGAAGGGAGGGCTAGAGTGCAACAGACGAAGGATTGGAGGAAGGAGAGAGGGAGGAAGGAGAGAGAAAAAGGAAGGTAGGGAAGAGAAGGGAAGTAGAGGGGAAGGAAGGGAGAAGGAGAAGGGGGAAACAAGAGGGGAAGAGAGGAAGGGAGGGGAGAGAGAGCCAGAGAATGGAAGGGAAGGAGGGAGGAAGGAGAGAGAGAGCGAGGGAGAGCAGAAGGAAGGGGAGGGAGAGAGAAAAGGGAGGGAAGGAGGGACAGAGAAAGAGGGAGGAATGGAGGGCTGGAAGGGGAAAGGAGGCAGGGAGATAGAGGTAGAAAGGAGGAGAGAGAGAGGAAGGAAAGGAGGGAGAGCAGAAGGAATGGAGAAAGGAAGGGAGGGAGGGAGAGAGGAAGGAGGGGGAGAGAGGAAGGGAGGGGGAGAGAGGAAGGGAGAATGGAAGGCAGGGAGAAAGAGAAAGGGAGGAAGAGAGGAAGGAAGGAGGAGGCTGAAGGGTACAGGAAGAGAGGGAGGTGACAGTGGTGAGAGAGGGAAGGTAAAGAGAGAGAGGAGGGAGGCAGAGAGGGAGAAAGTAAGGGAGGGAGAGGTAGAAGGGAAGGAGAGAGAGGGAGGAGGGAGGGAGTGAGAGAGAGGAAGGAAAGAGGGAGAGATAGAAGAAGGGAAGGAAGAGAGGGAGAGAGGAAGGATGGGAGGGAGGAAACGGAGAGAGGGAGAGTGGGATAGAAAGAGGGATGAAGGGAGGGAGGAGGGAAAGGAGAAGGAATGAGAGAGAGGGAGGGGGAAGAGGAGGAGAGCGAGGCATGAGAAAGGGAGGGAGGAGGGAAAGAGGAAGGAATGAGAGAGGGAGGGGGAAGAGGAGGAGAGCGAGAGAAGGAAGTGAGAAAGGAGGGAGGGAGAGAGGAAGGAGGCTGGAGGGAGGAAAAGGGTGGGAGGAAGGAGGAGAGGAAAGGAGGGCAAGAGGCAAGAAGGGGAGGGAGAGAGGAAGGGAGGGAGAGAGGAAGGGAGGGGGAGAGTAAAGACATGAAAGGGAGAGAGGAGAGAGCAAAGGGAAGGGAGGGAGGGAATGAGAAAGAGAGGAAGGAGGAGAGAGGAGAGAGGGAGGAAGGGAAGGAGGGAGAGAGGAAAGATAGGGAGGGAGAGGAAGGAGGCAGAAGGGAGATGAAAGGAGGAGAGGAGAGGGGAAGGGAAGGATGAGAGAGGAAGACGGAGAGAGGGAAGGAGGGAGGAAGGGAGAGAGAAAGAATGAGGAAGAGATTGAGAGAGAAGAAGGGAGGGAGGGGGAGAGAGGGAAGATGGAGGGAAAGAGAAGGGGAGGGAGGGACAGAGAAAGGGAGGGAATGGAGGGAGGAAGAGAGAAGAGGGAAATAGGAAGGGATGGCGGGAGATTGAGGGAGGGAGAGATGGGGAAAGAGAGATAAGGGGAAGGAGGAGAGAGAAAGGGAGGGAGGGAAAGGGAGAGAGACTAAGGAAGGAGGGAGAGAGAGGAAGGAGAGAGATGAAGGAAGGAGGGAAAGAAGGGGAGAGGAAGAAAGGAGGAAAAAGTGAGAGGAAGGAAGGGAGAAAGAGGGAGAGAGGAAAGAAAGAAGGAGGAAGAGGGAAAGAGAGGAAAGAAGGAAGGGAGAAACAGGAGAAAGAGGGGAAGGAAGTGACAGTAGAGGCTGGAATGGAGGAGCAAGAGAGAAAAGGAGGGAGAAAGAAGAAGGAAGGGAGGGCTAGAGGCGTAGAGACGAAGGATTGAGGGAAGAGAGAGAAAAAGGAAGGTAAGAGAGGAGTAAGAGAGGGGAATGAAGGGAAGGAGGGAGGGAGAAAAGGAGAGAGCGAGCGCAGGGAGGGAAGAGGAGAGAAAGAGGGAGGAATGAGAAGGAGGGAGGAGGAAAGGAGGGAGAGAGGGAAGGGAAAGGAGGGAGGGCTAGAGAGAAGGGAGGGAGGAGAGCGAGGAGATAGTGGCTGGGAATGAGAGGAAGGAAGGAGCAAGCGAGGCCAGAGAGGAGGAAGGAAGGGATGGAGAAAGGAGGGAGGGACTGAGGGGAGAAGAAGGAAGGGAGGGAGAATGGAAGGCAGGGAGAGAGAGAGAGGGAGGAAAAGAGGAAGGAAGGGAGAGGGAAGAGAGGGAGGGATAGAGAGGAAGGTAGTGAGAGAGGAAGGGAGGGAGGGAGAGGTGAAGGGAAGGAGAGAGGGAGGGAGTGAGAGAGGGAGGAAGAGAGGGAGAGAGAGGAAGCATGGGAGGGAGGAAACAGAGAAGGGAGGGAGGAAGAGAGATGAGAGGAGCTAGAGAGGGACAAGGAGAGAGGATGGAGGAGGGAGGAGGAGGAAGGAAATGAGAGGAGGGAGGGGGAAGAGAAGCAGAGAGAGAGTAAGGAAGTGAGAAACAAAGGGAGGGAGAGAGGAAGGAAAGGTGGGGAGGGAGAGAGGCAGGAAGGGGAGGGAGACAAACACATGGGAGGGAGAGAGAGGGAAGGAAGGGAGAGGGAGAAGAAGGCAGGGAGGGAGGGAATGAGGAAAAGAGGGTTGAGGTAGAGAGAGGTGGAGAAGAGGAAGGCTGGGATGGTTGAGAGAGAGGAACGAGACAGGGAGAGAGACTGAACAGCAGAGGGTGCTGCTGGAGGGAGAGAGGAAGAAAAGGAGGGAGAGGGGAAGGGAAGGATGGGAGAGAAAGGCACAGGGAGAGGGGGAAGGAGGGAGAGGAAAATACAAAGAGGAGGAATGAGGGAGAGGTGGGAGGGCAAAGGGTTGAGGGAGGGAAGGAGAGAGAGAAGGGAGGAGGAGAAGGGAAGGTGAGGGAGAGAGAGAGGGAAGATGGGAAAGAGAAGGGCAGGGAGGGACAGAGAGAAAGGGAGGAATGGAGGGGAATAGAGGAAAGAGAGAAAAAGGAAGGTGGGGGGAGGAAGGGAAGGGGGAGGGAGGGAAGAAAGAGAAGGGAGGGAACGGGAGGGATAAAAGAGAAAAATAGAGGGAGGGAGAGAAAAGGGAGAGAGGGAGGGAAGGAGGGATAGAGAGGGAGGAATGGAGGGAGAAGGAGGGGGAGGAATGAGGAGAGAGGAAGTGAGAGAGAGAGGGGAAGGAGGGAGGGAGAGAAAGGACAGGAGGGAGAGAGATGAAGGGAGGGAGAGAGGGATGCATGGGAGGGAGAGAGGGATGAAGGGAGGTGGAAGAAGAGAGAGAGGGGCAAGGGAGGGAGAGAGGGATGAAGGGAGAGGGAAGGAAGGGAGGGGAGAAACGCAGAGGAAGGGTGGGAGTGAGAGAGGGAGGAATGAGGGAGAGATGGAAGGAAGGGAGACGGAGGGAAAAGAGAGGGAGGAGAACAGAGAGGGTGGGGAGAGGACGAGGAATGAGGAGAAGATGTGGTGAGGGAAAGAGGTGGAGGGAGGGAGAGCAAGAGAGAGGGGAGAAAGAGGTACAGGGAGGCAGAGGGGGAGAAGGGTAGAAAGGGAGGGAAAGTGGGAGTGAGAGGGATGGAGGGAGAAAGAGGGGGGAGGGAAGAAGGGATGGGAAGAAGGGAGAGGCAGGGGGATGGGGGAGGGAGAAAGAGGGATGGAAGGGGAGGGGGGAAGGAGGGAGAAACAGGGAAGGAGAGAGGGAGGGATGACATGGGACTCATCATGTACCCATTATTA